ATAATACCAAAAAAATTAATTATAAAGTTTTTTAAATTTAAAGTTTAAGTCTGTAATTTTTATTGCCATCGCAGTAATTTATTATGAAAATATATAATTAATAAAAAAAATTCGTTCATTTGAACGTTGAAAATTTGTTGTTCTTAAAAAAAATAATTAAATAAAATTAAAATATACATAAAAAATTTTAAAAAAATTTTTTTTAATTTTTGTTGTTTATATATTATTATATTCAAGTATTTTAGGTGAAAATTTTTGAATTTTTAATAAATTAAGTTTTTAATTTCAATTTTTCTTACTTCGTCCTCAAATACACACTTTCTCTCGGATGGTGAATAAATTCGAATTTCATTGAGACTTATAACTTCAGTGGCAGAAACTGCAATGTTTGTTTGCTGATCCGGTTGAATGGTGGCTGTTAAGATATCAGTTTCGGGAAAATCTTGCGGTTTGTGAATAATAACAGAGGCACCGGCAAAATCCCTCGTTGAACCCTCATACATATCTTCTTCAACGTCAATGTCCACCATTAATCCTGCATCTATTCCCGAACCAGGAATTTTCTATAAATAATTTTATTTTTATTCCTTTTAATTTATTTCTTATTTCTTATTAATTTTTAATTTTTAATTTTTAATTTTCAATTTTTAATTTTCAATTTTTAATTTTTAATTTTTAATTTTTAATTTTTAATTTTTAATTTTTAATTTTTAGTTTTTAATTTAAAAAATTTTTAATTTCTTTTAATTTAATTTACTTATTTATTTTTCTTTTTTTCAGTTTCTTTCATTTATTTTTTTATTTTCTTTCAATTTATTTTTTATTCCTAAATTTAAATAATTTTTGCATTATAATAATATTTTTTTTTAAATATATTTCAATGGAGATTTTTTTTTTACATTGAAATTTATTATTTATTTTAAGGAGTGAAAGAAAATAAAAAATTTACCAAAATTTCTTTCCTTCCTGGACATTCACTTGATTCTTTGCAGGGAATATTCTTATCATTGTCGTATCTATCATAATACTCTTCACATTCAGAGGAATGATTTCTGTATACAAAAAAAAGAATATAAAACTATATTTTATATTTTTATTATTTATTTCTAATTAATAATTTATTTTTTACTGTTAAAATAAATTATAATAACTGTCTATAATTACAGAATTATAGGATTATTTTTTTTATTTTCTTAAAATAGAACAAAAATAATAAAAAAAAAATTATTTTTTTCTGATTTAAAATTATTTTTCTTTATTTCCTTTTTTTATATTTATTTATTGACAGGACTTTGAAGTAGAAAAAAATTAAGAAACTCAAATTGAGAGAAAAAATTCAAGAAACAAAAATTGAGATCTCAATGTTTGTTTCTTGAATTTTTTTTTTCTCAATTTTAGTTTCTTAATTTTTTTCTACTTCAATTTTATTTTAATTTTTATATTATAGTGAAAAAATTTTGAAAATTTGTTATTTAATTTTCACTTTTCTTAATTTAATTAATATATTTAAAAATATTTCTTCATTAATCTTACTCATCGGCGTATGTGTTGGCCACGTGATAATTAAATGCACAACAATGACCATGAAAGGAGTCAACAATTTTAAATATTAAATTGCAGTCGTACGATTTTCCAAGCCAATAACAAGATTTCAATAATTTATTGCAGGGCTGCATCAACTTGAATTTTAAATAATTCTTGTATTACAGTGTAAATTATATATATTTTTTTCTTTTTTATTTCACAAAATATATTTTTTGTAATAGAAAATCGAAAAGCTAGTCTTAAAATCGATGACAATAATATTTTCACTATTATTAATTTTATATTTTTTATTTCTTTATGACACAACATTGACTTATTCTACTTAAAATCGATGAAAAAAATATTTTTACTATTATTTTTTGAATTTTTTTATTTAATAAAATATGTTGTAAAATTGACAATCGAAAAGTTAGTCTGACACGACATTGACTCATACTACTGAAAATCGATCAAAATAATAATTTTACTTAATTATTAATTTTAAATATTGATTTATTTAATAAAATATAAGTGGTGTAAAAAATTGAAAATCGAAAACCTAGTCTGTCATGACATTGACTTGTTCTACTTAAAATTAATCAAAATAATTAAATTACTATTATAGATTTAATTTAAAAAATTTTTTATTCGACAAAATAATAATTATTTTCTGTAATTGAAAATGAAAAAGCTAGTATGACACGACATTGACTTGTTCTACTTAAAATCGAAAATAATAATAATTTGCTTCTATTAATTTTACATTTTTTTAATTGATAAAATAAATGAATTGAAAATCAAAAAGTTTGACACTATATTGACTTATTCTACTTAAAATCGATCAAAAAAATATCTTTACTATATTTTATTGCCTAATTTTATTTTTGTAATTTTTTTTATTCAATAAAATATATTATATAATTGACAATATAAAAATTAGCCTGACACTACATTGACTTATTCTACTTAAAATCAATAAAAATAATCCCCTTACTATTTAAAGAAATTTAATGTTTTTAATTTTTTTTTTTATTTAACAAAATATATTTTTTTGAAAATTAAAAATAAAAAAACTAGTCTGACACGATATTGACTTGTTCTACTTAAAATTGAACAAAATAATAATTTTACTTATATTAATTTTACATTTTTTCATTTGATAAAATAAATGTATTGAAAATCAAAAAATTTGACATATATACGTACTTGCCGCATAAGATTTTTTAATGTACTGTCCAATGAATAGAGCATATTGTTCATAAGATCAGGTTCAATTGCATCAAAAACTGGTCGTACCAGTAATGATAGATTACGAAAAAATGAATCAATTGTTTCATTATTATAGCCAGCGCTGCTTCTAAAAAAAATTTATTTTTCAAAGACATTCAATTTTAAACATTTTTTTAAATATAATAATTTTTAATTAATATTCAATTTTTATTATTCATTTATTTTTTTTATACAAATATTTAAGTATTTATTCAATTCAATGTTTATTTTAAGTAATCTTTTTTTGAATATTGCTTTTTGTTGAAACCGTTTTTTGTAATAATTTTATAATAATTTTATAATAAAAGCGTAAAAGACGTATTTTATGCCTTTTATTATAAAATAATTATTTTTAATATACTATTAATAAATTATTATTATTATTATTTAATTTTATAATAATTTATTTTTTATGTTTATATTTACATTTATTTTTACATCATATTTATTTAATTTTAATTTCAATTTTAATATTTTTAATTAATAGATTTTTTTTATTTTGTTTATTAAAGCAGAAATTATTAATTTACTTACAATGTATGGTGCATTGGAATTGTAGCTTCTTTGTAAACTTTATTGTAACTGCAAATAGTTACAGCTGGGTAATTTATTTCATATAATGGAGCACTACTGTCTGCCATTCTTATTGATGGCAATCTACTTTGAATATTGGTGTTAGAAACCCAAATTAATATCACACAAAAAATTGAAGCAATCACCAAAATCTGTATATTATTTATTAATTTTCAGTCAATTATTATTTTATTATTAAATTTTATTCTCCAAGCATATAAAGAAAAGAAAATTATATATAATTATCTAATATAAAATATTTGAAATACTTTTACAGTAAATATTATTAATAAAACAAATTATTATTAATAATAATAATTATAATTAATAATATTAATTATTAACAATAGTAATTATTAATTAAATAAATAAAAAATCAACTATTATTTTTTTAATTAAACAAAATCATTATTACTAATTATTTTATTGATAATAGATGATGATCAAATTATTATTATTATTATTATTATTATTATTATTATTATTATTATTATTATTATTATTATTATTATTATTATTGTTATATTTATAAAAGTAGTAAATTAAAAAAATTATATCATTAAAAAATACCGAATAATAATCATAATTAAATTTCAATATATTTATTAACTAAACAACAATTATAAAAATTCCAGAAAAAGCTTAATTAAATTAAAAATAAAAAAAAACCTCTTTTATAATAATTATAATAAATAATATAATTTTTGCTCACTGCAAACCAAATGTATTTTTCCAAAATTGGTAAATCGTCAGCGATATATCGAAAACCATGCATTGCAGTTGATTTACAATAATTAAATAAAATGCGCTTCACATTTTCTCTCTCCAGTTTTCTATTTTTCTTTTTCACTACAATTTCCAGTTTTTTTTTTTGAAAAAATTGTTATTAAAATTTTTTGTAATACTTGTAATAAAATAAATTCAAAATCAAATTTTTAACACTATTTAAAAATTGTATTGTATTATTAATTAATATTTATATTGTATTTTTAATTAATATTTATATAGTTAATTGTCCTACCTTTATTATTGTTGTTAAAATCTTTTTTAATGTAAATTTTTTGCAATTTTTTTGAATCGGACATTTTTTTTTCTCAAACTGTTCTTGTCGTCAACATTTCGAAAGGAAAAATGAATGAAATTCTACAAATACTTTGAATATTGAAAACATATATTTTATGTTATCTTTTTAATTTACAATCATTATTTATAATTACATCACTAGGGACAAATTTCTTTTTAAAGTAAATAATACTAATTTATCTTCCCAAGGGTCATAACAAAATGAAAAGTGGTTTATAATTATTTGCAAATTTTATTTTCTTTCGAAATTATGTTATTTGTTAGAAAGAAAATATTTTATAGCTAAGAAGTAGTTAAATTTCAAAATTTATTGATTGTATTTTTTATTATGTTCTTAATAGAAGACAAATATAATTTAATTGTATATAATTATAATTTAATTTTTATGATACTAAATAAGCAATAATTATAAAATAATATTTATGTAATAATTGTAAAATTGTAAAATTATAATTTTTTTAATTATAAAATTTTATGAAAATAGAATTATTTATTTTATTTGCAAAAAATAATTTTCGTTTTTTGGAAAAATCAAATTAAGAAGTCTTTTTGTAATTAAAATACATTTTAAAATCATTTTCAAGCATTGAAATATTCGGATTTGTTTCTGTTATTTTAATGCGATTTTTTGAAGAAAATTTTTGAAAAAATTTATTATTTTTTCTATCGTTGACGACAATTTTCTTTCTTTGCGTCTCACGGTATTTTATTCGACAGGGCGTTACGAAAACTTGAATAATAGGTTCCAGTAAACTTATGAATGAACCACCTAAACAAAGTCCAAGAACAGCTCCCAGAGTCCCTGAAAATATTTATTAAAATTATTATTAATATCATTATTCTTATTATTAGAAATTATTATTTAATTCTTAATTGTTCAAAATTATTTTCTATTTATTTTCTTATTTATTTATTCTCTTCTTTTATTTTCTATTTTTTTTTTTTTTATTATTTTCTATTATTTTCTACTATTTATTTATTAGTAGATTTTTTTATTGCAGAAGTATTTATAAATAAAAACAAAAATTGTTTTTTGATAAAAAAAATAATAAATTTTATCAAAATTAAATTAAAATTATTCCTCTCGAAAATTTAATTTACCATTTTTGAGAAACTAATTAGTCATTATTGTCAACTTCGATTTAGTTTAATTTGAAAAAAAAAATAATTTTGTTTTAACAATAACTTACCAATTGTCGTGTACCAAGGAGAACTCAATCGCTTTTTGTACTTCGTAAAAGTATAATCTTGAAAATAGACATAAATTTTTGCAAAATCAAAATCCGATCCTCGATTTGAATTAGGAAGTCGTCTGTGAATAGAAAATAAAAAATAAAATTATTATTCTAATTGTATATACAAAATAGAAAATTTTTATTTAATTTGTTTTTCGAAATAATTTGAAAATACTAACTCAAGAAATGGATGTCGTAGACCTTGATAAATACTGGAAACTTCATCATAAACAATATATTTTGTCTTTGAGCAAACTTGCAAACAGGGACATTTTTTCAGCAACATTCCACTTTCTAATTTTACATCTTCGTGGAAATTATTTATTTCGACTGAAAGAAAATTAATTTTTAATATTAAAAATATGTTTCATTTCAAAATAATTTTTGGTTAATTGAATTAAGAGTGTAAGTACTTATTTTTTAACATTTAAATTTAGGTTCAATTTTCTATCAATTTAAATTCAACTTAATTTCAATTTTCCTTCAATAGAATTTCAATTAATTTTCATTCAATTTAATCTAAATTTTTTTTTCAATTTAATTTCAATTTACTTTCAATTCAGTTTCAATTTTTTTTCAATTCAATTTCATTTTAGTTTCAATTCCCTTTCAATTTAATTTTAATTTAGTTTCAATTTTCCTTCAATATAATTTTTATTTTTTTCTAATTTAATTTTAATTTAATTTAAATTTTCTCTCATTTTAATTTCAACGTAATTTCAATTTTTCTTCAATTGAATTTCAATTAATTTTCAATTTAATTTTAAGTTTCTTTCAATTTAGTTTCAATTTTCTTTTAATTTAATTTCAATTTACTTTCAATTTGAATTAAATTTAATTAAAGTTAATTAATATAAATTTAATTTAAATCAAATTGAAAATTACTTTGCAATTAACTTTAGATAAAAATTTAAATTAAATTTAAATTAAATTTAAATTTGAAAAAATGTCACAAATTAGAAATTTAATTTACCATAATTTTTCCTGATGCATTTCATGTTACTGAAGTCGCAAATTTTCGAAATATTAACACAAGTATCAGGATAGTAATACGGGACACATGAGCAAATTTTCAAAAAACGTTTCATTTTACAACTTGCGATGCAAGATTGATAACTGTATTTATACGGCACCTGGAAAATAGAAAAAAACTCAATTATTAAAATTTATTTCACTAAAAAATAAAAGACGTATTTTTTCACTCTAAGTAAATAAATAAATAAATAAATACCTCCAAGTCAAAAATACAATTTCTTCTCTCCTGTGATAATTGACGGATTGTGACATCATTTTCCACTTTTGTCCCCGATACTATAACATTAACTTGCTTACTCATCTGAACAACCAATTCGTAAATATCATATTCAGGATAATCATGAGGTTCATGAATTAGTATTGAAGCGCCTTCATAACTATTAATGAATCCAAAATAATTCTCCGGTTCCAAATATAATCGAAAGTAAAGTCCAGTATGAATTCCAGAACCAGAAACTTTCTATATAAAGAAATAAATTTGTTAAATTAAATAATATTTTTTAATTTGAACCAAAAAAAAAAATTCCCTAAGAAAGACAATTATTATTATTACCTGAATTCTCTTTTCGTCTGAACAATCTTTTTCCTCCTTGCAGTTTAAATGTTTATTGTAGAATTTGGTGCATTTCTCCACATTTATGCTTGAAATTGAAATTAAATAGAAAGGAAAATTGAAATTAAATAAAATAAAAACTGGAATTAAATTGAAATTAAATAGAAATAACATTGAAATTAGATTGAAATTAAATAAAATAAAAATTGGAATTGAATTGAAATTAAATATAAGGAAAATTGAAATTAGATTGAAATTAAATAGAAAGAACATTGAAATTAAATAAAATGAAAATTGGAATTAAATTGAAATTAAATTTAGAAAGAAAATCGAAATTAGATTGAAATTAAATAGAAAGAAAATTGAAATTAAATAAAATCAAAATTGGAATTGAATTGAAATTAAATAGAAAGAAAATTGAAATTAAATAAAATGAAAATTGGAATTAAATTGAAATTAAATAGAAATAAAATAGAAATTAAATTAAAATTATAAAAAGAAAGAAAATTGAAATTAAATAGAAAAAAAATTGAAATTGAAATTGAATAGAATTAAAATTAAAATTAAATTAAAATTATAAAAAGAAAGAAAATTAAAATTAAATAGAAAAAAATTGAAATTGAAGTTGAAGAGAATGAAAATTAAAATTAAATTTTCGAATTTTTACAATAATTGCTGATTAATTTTTTATTAATACTCACTTGTCAAAAATTGTTGGCGACACGTAATAATTGAAAGCACAACAGAATCCCTTGTATGATTCAACTGGTCTGAATAAAGTTGTACAATTAGTAAGGATTCCCAGAAATTCGCAATTACCAAATAATGTTTCACAGGGTTGCATCAACTAAAATAAATCCGTAAAATTATTATCACTGTAAAGTGAATGGTACATTTTTTAATTTCCCATTTTTCTTTTTATTACCTCATGCATTAGAGTTTTTAATGGTATTTTTAAACTTTGAAACATTTTATCATAAACTTTAGTTTTCACAAATAAATTTTGTTGTGGACTCGTTAACAGCGGTAAGTAGTGGAAAAAATCTTGAATTTCATCTTCAGTGTATCCGCTACTGTTTCTGTAAAGAAAAAAAACAATTTTTCAATTAAATACTAAAATTGAAAAAAATAATAAATGCAAAAATAAACTATGTACTGAAAAAAAATAATAATAGAATGAAAAAATAATTAAATAATAAAGAAGAATAATAGCAGAATGTAAAAATAGTAAAATAATAAAGAAAATTAATAAAAGAAATAGTAAAAAAGAAATAATAGAGAAATAATAATAATAGAAATAATAAAGAAAAATAATAGTAAAAGAAATAATGAAGAAAAATAATAAAAGAATGGAAAAATAAAATAATTAAAATTAAAAAGAGAATAATTTTGGAAAAAAATATTTACAATTGTTTCATGAATTTTTCAGTCCTCGGTTTGTAAATTTGATTGTGATTGCAAATTGTAACGGCTGGAAAATCTAATTGCTCCATGCTATTGTCAACACTTTCGAGTTGAATTAATATTGATTGATTTAACATTGCTTCCACGGCTCTTTGAGTCAAAAATATGAACATTCCCACAGCTGTAATTACAATCTGAAAATAAAAATAATTATTACAAAATTTAAAGAAGAAAAATATTCTAGAATATTTTAGAAACAAATTTCCCACCACTGTCCATATTCGTTTTTCATTAGGCGACATATGCTTAGACGTGATGTGTCGAAAACCATGCAAAGAAGTTGTATCACAAAAATTCTTCAAGTAAATTTTCGTCTCGACTCCAATTTTCCTCCATATTTTCGAAGAAAAAATTCCAACTTGACAAAAAATCTCATTTTTGAAAACTCACTTTATTGAAAATGTAGAAAGGAAAAAAATACTTACCAAGGGGAAAATTTGTTAATCGAGGCATTTTTTTTTATTCTTGTAAAATATTTCGATTTTAATATTTGTATAAATAATATTTTGTGTAAATTTAACTGAACTAAAATTTGAAGTTTATAATTAACTTGATAGAATAAAGTAAAAGTTTTATTGAACAATTTTCAGTATTCTTTTACTATTTTTTCTTTAAATATTACTTTTCATTTCTTTTCGCTTACTTCCGAGGAACTAAACTTTTTCTCAACTTCTTTCACTTAATATATTTCTTCGCTTTATTAACTCAACTTTCTTGTACTCAGTTGAAGGATGATCGTTATCTGAAAATTACTTGTGAACTTTACAACACTGGTAATTGGAGATCTAGTCGTAAAATGTTTAAAGAATAACAGAATATAGTTTTTAAATCGAAAAAAATTTGTATATTTAAGATTATTCTTTATATAAAAACTTAAATTATTGTGGAAATATTTAAGGAAAATTTTAGACTTAAATTGAGAAAATAAAATATAAAAACTTGATTCCTAGATAAAAAGATAGAATAGAAGGTAGAATAAAAAAAGGAATGAAAAAAAAAATTCTACACTTGCGGAAAATTGAAAATTTTCTCATTATAGTACGAGAGTAATTAATAAAATAAAATAAGTAAGAGAAATACTAATGAATGATAACCATTCCAGGAGTTTAGCAAATCCAGACCATATTTTTTCGTTACTCATTTCGGATGTCGATTGAATTGATTCGATGTTATCACTTTCTTCCTCCAATTCGTAGGATCCTTTTGATTTTTCGGCAGTTGTCACGAAAAATTGAAGAAGTCGACAATTTACAATGCAGACAATCCATTTTGGTGCTGTTGCGGTGATTTTTTGCATTTTTCGAAACACTATCGTTATTATTAATGCAAACGCTGCCAGAATTAATGAATCTCGATAAAAAATAACTGAAAGAGAATAATTTAATTAAAATTTTATTCTTGTTCAATTTTAGAAAAAAATCTAAAAAATTATTTCAAAATTATCGAATCAAATTGTTATTTTCAAATATCAACTTTAATTTTTGATTAATTTCAGATTTGCAAAATTTTAAAAATTCACTTATTAAATTCAATTGTTTTCAAATTTAAATACAATTTTAATAAAATTTCACGAAAGAATTAAATTATTTTTAAAAAGTTATCAAATTTTTCGACAGAATTCAATTAATTTTTTGAAATTTTAATAAAATTCTTCGCAACAATGAAATTATTTTTATAAATAATATAATTCTTCTCAGGAATTCAATTATTCTCAAATACAATTTTAATAAAATTTCTCCGAAAGGATTCAATTATTTTTAAAAATTGTAATACAATTTTTCTAAAGAATTCAATTATTCTCGAAAGTTTTGATAACATTTTTTAAAAGAATTAAATATTATTTTCATAATATAATGAATTTCTTCTTAGGAATTAAATTATTTTTTGAAGAATTTTTATAAAATTTCTCCAAAGAATTCAATTATTTTCAAAAATTGTGATAAAATTCTGGAAAAAAATTGAAAAATTCAATTATTTCCAAACAATTTTCACAAAATTCAATGAAAATTATTAAAAGAAACAATTATTTTCAAATAAACTTTAAGAAATTCTTCAAAAGAATTAAATTATTTACAAAAACTCTAATAATAATGGTTCAATGGAATTTAATCTTTTATCAATTTATCAATAATTTTAATAAAATTTAATAATAAAATTGTTAATTAAAATTTAAAATTATTTGCAAAATCGATTATATTGAAAAAATTAAAGAAATTCTTCGAAATAATTCAATTATTTTCAATATTTTAATAAAATTCTTGGAATGAATTCAATTATTTTGCTAAATTGTAATAAAACTCTGAGAAGAATTAAATGATTTTCTAAAATTTTTAATAAAATTCAATAAGTAAATATTTAATTACAATTATTAACAAACATGATTATTTAGAAAATTTGAAATAAATTCTTCATGAAATTCAATCACTTTCAAAAATTTTTAATTAAAATTTAAAAAAAACTCCATTGATTAAAAAAAGAATTCAATAAAATTCTACAAAACAAGGACATTATTTTCAAAAATTTTAATAAAATTCTTCGAGATAATTCAATTATTTTCAATATAATTTTAATAAAATTTCTCATCATTTTGAATTAAAATTGTTAAATTTGAATCTAAAAAATAATTACTTATGTGAGGAATAGTAAATCCATTTAATGGCACCATCCAATGTAAATCGTAAATACAGTAAAGGTGGCCAGCAAAATTTACACCTGCCAGAACCATTCTTTCTATCGATGTTGAATCCAACCACAGAACTGTTAGTGTGAACGTCAAGAAGACTGAAAATTCAAATTTAATTAAAATGAGAGAAGAAAAAGAAATGAAACAAGAAAATATTTCAATCATTTATCATTTTTAAACGTTAAGAAATAAATAAATAAATAAATAAATTAATTAATTAATTAATTACCTAATTCAAAAAGTGAAGAATTTAAAAATTATTATAATTCAATTATTCTTCGAAATTAAATTGTTTTTTGGAAATATATTTTTTAATTTAATTTACTATTATTTTGATTCAATAAATATTGTTATTTAAATTCTCGCAAAATATATAAATATTGATATTATTTCGATTTGATAAATAATTATATTATTTGGATTTAACTAATATTAGTAATATTTCGATTTAATAAACATGAACATTATTGTTGTCTTAATGAATATTAATTAATACTCACTAGTTGCTGGAGTAATATACAACGAATGTGACATTCTCGAGTGCCTCTTTAAATGAAATTCAAATCCAATTTGCGTGTAATTTATCGTCAGAGTATTAATAATTATTTTCCTAGCTTCTTGTCCTTTCATAATCCAATCGTGGTTCTCTATATAATCTTCCATCAAAATCTATCAAAATAATAATAATAATAATAGTAATAATTTTAATTCTAAATAATTTTTTTTTTAAATTACTAATGTTAATTAGCTCACAGGAGGTTGTAGAAAATCAAAGTCGACCTCGTGACTATAATAAGTATTGGAACCGGTGCGAATTTTACATTTTTGTTCATCATATGGCCAGTAAGTGAAATCCGAGGCACAGGAAACTGAAATCTTGGTGGGAATGACACAGGTAACATTTCCAGTATTTTTCAGCAAGCAAGTCGTTGTAGGAAGCTCAAAATGTTCAGCTCTGAAAATTAAGAGAATTTTCTCTATTTAGAATAATAATTTAATTAATAATTAATATTTATTTCCATTTTTTAGATATTAAATATATTTAAAAGAACAAGGGTCAGAATTCGTAAAATTTTCACAGAAAATAAAAAGTATTTTTTTTAAATCGAAGTGTTGAAAAAACATTTCTATTTGGCCTTAAGAATGTGTCCACCAAAAAACAGGAAAAAAAATTATTTTTTATAAAAGTTATTGCAAAATTAATTTTTTAGCAACTTTTTAAACAAAATTTTATTTCTCCTAAATGAATGAACCGATTTAAATGAACCAAGCGGGAATATCAAGGGGATAAAATATACTTTCGTTTAGAATTAGAAAATTTCTAAAAAGTTTATTTTTTAATAATTATTTAATAAATTTTTTATAAACAATTAATTTTTTTTAATGTTCTGCGCCTTTTAAAAATTTGAAAAAAATATTAACATACACTTAAAACTATAAGAAATCAAAATCCGTTGAGAAAATTTTGGAGCGACAATTATTTTAAAAGTTATAAACAAATTATATTGAACGGAGATGCGATTTTGATGATTTTCAGAATTAAAACATTATTTTTAACTACGAAATGAACAAAACACTGTCAAATTAACATTTTTATTCAATTATATAACCATAAAAATTGATGAAAATGATCAAAAACTAAGTTCAGCGTTGATGCACAACACCGCGCCAATATAATTTGTTTATAACTTTTAAAATAATTGTCGCTTCAAAATTTTCTCAACGGATTTTGATTTCTTATAGTTTTAAGTGTATGTTAATATTTTTTTCAAATTTTTAAAAGGCGCAGAACATTAAAAAAAATTAATTGTTTATAAAAAATTTATTAAATAATTATTAAAAAATAAACTTTTTAGAAATTTTCTAATTCTAAACGAAAGTATATTTTATCCCCTTGATATTCCCGCTTGGTTCATTTAAATCGGTTCATTCATTTATAGGAGAAATAAAATTTTGTTTAAAAAGTTGCTAAAAAATTAATTTTGCAATAACTTTTATAAAAAATAATTTTTTTTCCTGTTTTTTGGTGGACACATTCTTAAGGCCAAATAGAAATGTTTTTTCAACACTTCGATTTAAAAAAAATACTTTTTATTTTCTGTGAAAATTTCACGAATTCTGACCCACAACAGGTTTTTTTTTTTGAAAAAATTAATAGAGAAAAATAAAGTGTTGTTTCTTTAAATTAAATTAATGAGAATAAATTCATGATGGAGTTTTTTTTCATTAAGAATTTTTTTTTTTTGAAAGAAGAATTAATATGGAATTAATTAATTTTAATTAATGAATAAAATAAAGAATATAACATACGTGTTAATTATCATCAAATCGGGTTTCCAGATATCGGTACTCAAAACGTAAAGTGTATCCAATTTTTCAAATTCTGCAAGATTCCACGTTAAATGCGCATCGTTCCATGTCTGCAAAAAAAATTTTGTTCAATTAAAATACAATTCAATTCATTTAATAATTGATTTCTATTACAATTAATTTATACAATAATTGATTTATACATAATTTATTTATATAATAATTGATTTTACATAATTTACTTATATAATTGATTTATGCATAATTTATTTATATTACAATTAATAATTTCTACTGAAATAAATAAATCAAAAATACGAAAAAGTAATAAAACTAATATTTACATCTAAGAAATAACAAATTACATAATTTGTAAACAATTTACCAATTTTAACCAGAAATGAAGAGTGAAGCTACTACTGCTACTTTCCTGTAAAAAGAAGAGAAAAATTAAATAAATAATTAAAATAATAATTTTCTTCCTTTCTATCAAGTATATTAAAAAAAACTTCCTTCTTTACTTGAATATGTGTATTTTGGATTTTTAATTAAAAAACACATTGTTTAAAAGGAAGAAAGTTTTACTCGAACAAAAAACAAGTAAATGAAGTCTTTTCTTTAATGTTTCCCCCGGGAGCAGTTAAATCTCTTAGGCAAGATTGATCGCTTTAAACAAACAAGCTTTCATTCTTTTACCAGTCGTTGGCGAGATAAAAAATATTCCAGAAAAACTCTGACGTTACTGAAAGTTCAATTTTTTATTCCTCAAAAATGACAAACTTTAGAATTACATACTCCAGAGACTTTGGGTGAAATTTTAAGAAAATTGCTTTTCTACGCAAAAAAAAAGAAACTATTTTTATCTATATTAATTTCAATGCAAATAAATAAAAATTCTATTAAGAATTTAACAGACAATTATTATTACTTCTATAAATATTAGTTGCTTTTAAAATTAATATTTCTAGCAAATTTAAAAATATTTCTAATTTTCTAATAATAATAACTCTGAAAATATTTCTAATAAGTTTTAAAATAATAATTCAAATAGGAACTAAAAAAATATTCCTATTAGTAATAAATTAGGAAATAAATTTCAATAAGAGTGAAAATACTCACAAATTCCATAAATTTCGGTATCATTTGTATAAATGCTTGAAGACTTTTCTTCCGTTCAACAGGCCTCTCATTTGAATCGTAAGAACAAAAAAGTTGATTCTTCAATCGTGAACTCACAGTTGCGGACGATTTATTCGGTGGACATTTACGAATATCAATTGCCCCCACATGCTTAATTATACGCAATTTTAAAATAAATATCAAAAAAGCAAAAATAATTAATTTCTTCATTTTCAAAACGAAAAGACCAATAGTCCGTGTTTCAATGAACTATAATTTTAATTTTGGCTATTCACTTGAATTTTTTTTTATCACACGATCATTATCGAAAACTAGATGACGCCCCTCGTTTCGTTCATATATCAATCGAACTCTTTTTTTTTTAAATATTCTATCACAAAAATGATTTTAAACCATGAAAATATGCTTGTGACATTGGAGATAATTTATTTTATACAGAATTCGTACATTATATCACAAATAAAAATGAAAGAAGAGAATAAATATATATGTTCTATAATATGAAACATTAATAATCTTCTTTTATATTATATAAAAAATAATATATTTTGAAAGTATGTAAAAAAATTATAAAAATGAAAAAATGGTATTAATATTTAATTACTATTAAAGTTGAATATAATCTTCATAAAAATTTTTACAAGAAGAATTAATAGTAAGAATTAGAACTAATCTTTGGATTTGTGCCATTCTATAGAGAAATGAAAAATATTGAGAATATTGTTAAAAATATCGAGAAATTTAGGCCCTAGTTTTTTTTTTGTTATTCATCGATTTGGCACATTTCTTCGATTTAGGCCATTTGTGCCAAATTTCTCTGTAATGTTGATATCAGTCTTCAATAGAAATTTAAATGCTGATTTAATGAGTTGTATTTCATAATCGTATGCGAAATGTTCTGTAAAAGAAAATCTTTATCATTTCATTTAGTTCAATATTTTATTATTTTATCAGTGTAAATATTTAATTAATTTTATAAATTCAATTTTCAAAGAAATAAAAATGAAAAAACTACTAATTATTTAAAAATTTTAATTACAATAATTAGTATAGTATTTTTTAGTATAGAAAATTTTCTGTCTTTTTCTTATAATAGTGATTAGGAGAAAAAAAAGTTGCACTAAAATAGAAAAATGAATCTATATTAGAAAAGAAAAGGAAACAGAAAAGGGTTGCCACAAAACTTTCATTTTGTTTTTCCCTGACACACAATAACTCTTCTAATATTCAATTATTATCTAAAATTTACCTGAAATCCATTTCTTAATAAATTTTTATTAGAAAATTTTTCGACAATTCAATTATTTACATACAAAAATAAATAATTTATTTAATAATTGAATATTTCTGAAAATTGAATTTTTATGAAGAATTTGATCAACATTTTTAAAAATAATTGAATTCTTTCGGTGAATTTTAAAAAAAAATTTAAGAATAAATGCAATTTTCTATCATTATTTTTAAAATTGTATAAAAAGTAACTTAAATTCTGAAATAAGTTTTGTTATTTATGAAAATAAGTGAATTCTTGCAACGAATTTCATTAAAAAATTTTTTAAAGAATTGAATTCCTGTAAAGAATTTTATGTGTAAAAATAATTGAATTCCGGAGAAAAATATTATTATTCATTAAAATAATTAATTTCTTGTGAAGAATTTTATTCAAATTTTTTTAAATAATTGATTTTCTCAGAATTTTTTAAAAATTTTTGAAAATAATTAAATACCATCGAGAAATTTCACTAAAAAAATTGAAATCTGACAAAGAATTAAAAAATTCTTTTTTAAATAATTGAATGCCTGTGAAAATGTTTATTTTTGAAAAGAATTTAATTCTTGGGAAGAATTTTATTAGAATTTCTTAAATAATTTAATTTTATTTGAAGAATTTTATTTTTTACGAAAATAATTCAATTATTTTCGAAGATTCTTACAATTTTACGAAAATAATTTTATTCTACAACCAATTTTATTATAATTTATTATAATTATAATTTATATTTATAAAAATAATTGATTTCTAGCGAAGACTTTTATTCAAATTTTTTTTAAATGATTTAATTCCCATAAAAAAATGTATTATATATGTGAAAATAATTGAATTCTCAAGAAGAATTGGATTGAAAATAATTGAATTGTATAGGAAAATTTTATTAAAATTGCAAGTTTATTAACTAAATCTTGTAAAGAATTTGGTAAAATTTTTTTTAAATAATAGAATTTTTAAAAGAATTTTATTTAAATTTTTCGAAATAATTGAATTTCTCAGAACTATTTTAAATTTTTTTCAATTCTCTGAATATATTTGTATTCTTTGGAGAAACTTCATTAAAAAATCAAAAATTATTGAATTGATGCGAAGAAATATATAAAAAATTGGTATGTATTTGAATTCCTGTGAAATTTTTATTAAAAGTTTGTTTAAATATTAGAATTCTTTTGTAAAATTTTATGAAAATAGTAGATATTAAAAATAATTGAAATGAGGAAAATTTTTGAAATTTTGACAAGAATTTTATTAAATTTTTTGAAAATAATTGAACTTCAGAGAAGAATTTTATTATTTATAAAGATAATTGAAATTTTGACGAGAGTTTTAAAAAAATGTTGAACATAATTGAATTTATGCGAAGAAGTTTATCACTTTATCACTTTTGAAAATAATTGAATTTCTGTAATCAGTTGTTCTTAGAATTTCTATTTAAATCCATTAAAAATTGATATTTTTTAAAATTTCTATTTAAATTCATTAAAAATTGATATTTTTAAAAATTTTCAAATTGAAATCTTTGAAGTTCATCTATTCATGAAGATTGTAAACGCAACTCTTTTGAAATCCAATTAATTTTGAAATTTTTAAGTAAAATTATTCATTAAATAATTTATAAGTAATAATTTTATCAAGAACTTAATTCTTCAAGAATTAAGTTATTTAAAAAGAAATTATTGTCAGAAATAGAAAAAATTGAACGGTTTGTATTAGAATTCTTGTCAATTTCATAGTTTATGAGGCAAACAAAAAAAACACAAAAATTTAGAATGTTAATATAAATTCTAAAAACTTAATTTTTTCCAGTACTTTTAAAAAAAATCCCTGACTTTTCCCTGACGTTTCCCTGAATTCGCTGACTTGTGACAACCCTGGAGAAGAGAAAAAAATAAAAAAAAGAAAGAGAATATCGATTGCCTTTCCTTTTTTCTTTTCTTGATAATAATAAAATAACATACTTGGAGAAGTCGCTGCTTTTCTCAATGATGTGTTCGAATTCGGCAAAACTGAGAGCACCATCGTCATCTAAATCGGCTTCCTCTAATAAATATTGAAGAAGCTGCTGCATTTCTGTATCGCTTAATCTTTGTGGAGCTGTTAATCTATCTACAACTTGACGTAAATCTCCTATTCCTAACATATCATCGCCATCGAAATCTGTAGAAAAAATATTTTTTTTAATTAATACAAATAAAAAAAAAACTAAAAGAAAAAATGCACTATAAATTATTTAAGGAGAGACTAAGACTTTATTTTTTACTATATCAAGAAAATGATTCATATCTTCCATAAAACTATTTTTATAGTAATTTTTAGAGAGGAAATCAATGGTCAGAAAATATTCTGAATATTCATTTTATAAACTTTACCAAATATTCGAAAAGCGTGCTCGGCTTTTACAGCTTTTGGTGCTGCATCACTAAAAACGGACATCATGTCCAAAAAATCTTCGAACGTACAATCGCCATCCTGACTGGAACTGAATACTTTACATATTCGATCACCAAAAGGATTCACTCGAAGTTCCGGGTACTGAAGTATTTTTGACATTGGCAGTTTTGCATTTCGATTGTGTCCCACTTTTTCCGGAGCGAGGGCTTTAAATTTCTGATGAGCACTACAAGAATTATTTTGAAAAATAAAAACAAAAAAAATGTAAAATCATTAAAAATACAAAAAACAAAAAAATAGGTACAAAATAATTAAGACTTACTAAAGAACTTCCTTTTTTGTAAAATAGGTCAAATCCTGAAAAAGAAATATCAAAACACAAGAGTATTTAATAAAAATAATTTTTTCAATAAAAGAAGTAGAATTAAATATTCAGGTCAATATTCAAAGCACCAAAAACTTACTTGATAATCCTGTAACTCTTCCTCACTAAACTGACTTCTTCCAGCTCCCATATTTCAAAATCATACAGAAAAATTGACAGTTATTAATAAAAACTACACTCTGAATTTTTATAGAAATATTTTTGGTAAAAATTTTTTTCACAAACGCTTCAAAGAAGCTTTCGCTGAATGTTCCATTGTAAAGTAAACTAATTATACTTTGTTGATTGTTGACAATCAGTCAAAGACCTTATCTTATAGACGAAATTCCGTTAATTAACTCTAAACTAATTATTATTATTTAAAGAAAAAAACAAAGAAAATATTTTCCTTTGTTTGTCATTAGACGTTTTTGCCGAGATTCTGACAGATAGACTAAAGCTACTTACACAACGCGTAAATATTCGCAATAGTCTACCTTAAGCAGGCCTGACCTTAAGGCTTAAACGCAACTACCGAACCCTGACAGTTGGCACCGCTGTCTATAATCAAAATGTGATCAAAAAATTTAAGCGCGATAAAAATGTATTATTTTAATTTAAAAAACAAAAAATCAAAATAACACTTTTAATTGAGAGAAAATGTCAAATCCAGTCAAATTGTTGAATATCTAAATTTTAATTCCATCACTCTTTTTTTCCCAACTTATCGAATTTTGCGAGCTTCTAAGAATTTTTTCGGAAAAATTTTGCCACTAAAGTTTACATGTCAAAACGTGACGTGACGTAACGTTTATCATCCTCCTTTTCTTTCTTAAATTTGGCACATTTCAATGTCTGTGACAGGAGTAAAAATTAATAAAATGGCAAATACTGTGACTGAGGATGAAATGGGGAAAAAATGGGATAAATGTTTCACAGATGCAGTGCTGAAATTAGGTAAGTTTTGTTCTAACCAAAAAGAAAATGGTTTTTATCTCTATATTTTTTTAACAAAAAATGTTTTATTTTCTTTCAGGAGGTGGAATTCTAGTAGGCTCAGTATTTTCTCTTCTTTTCATTCGAAGTAAGTATTTTTTTATTTATATCGTACGTCAAAAACTTTTTTCTGAATACGAAAAAGAATTGAGGAACATAACCTCAAATATGAATGTTTACATTAGTTTTCGGAGTATTTGAAAATCTTTCCTTCTTTTTTATTTGTAATTAGTAATTATTAATAAGTAAAGTAATAATTAGAATTAACTTCGTAACAATTAGTATTCAATTAGTAATACTGTTCGAAATAGTAAATTTATCAAGGAAGACTAGAAAGGAAATTTTATTATTTTAGGAAAATGGCCCATTATTACCGGAGCTGGTTTTGGATTAGGTATGGCATATTCAAATTGTGAAAATGAAATTAATTCAACGGTGAGTCAATGTAAAACAAAAAGTCGATGCGATGAAAAGAAATGAATATTATAAATTATTAGATTTTTAACAATTCGTTCAACATCTGACGATATATAGATAAAATATTATGAAAATAGTTGATGTACTCTACGTCATAGAGGCAGCGTTTAAAATATCTCGCCAACTTGTACATTAAGGAATTAAATAAAACTATTTCTTATTTAAATCATTTGGAATTTCTCGCGACCTTTGAAAATATTAATTTATCTCCTAATTTTATTAATTATTATTATTATTATCTTTTTCATTTACTTATCAGTCTTTGAGAATAAAGCAATTTTTACAGAATAATAATGAAAAATGATGGAATGAAATTAAATAATCTCGAGTATATAATTTAGATAGTAAAAAAGTCAATTTATATCGTTTTAAATTTAAAATCTAGGGATCTGATAATGTTATTCTAGATAAGGTTTAATTTACTCTCAACTATCTATTTCCTATTTAAATATCATTTCGTTAAATTGTTTGTTTAGATTATTTGGGAACGTTTAGGAAAAAAAACCGTTGTTAAATAATTTGGTTTGATTTTTGTTTTTATAATTATTTACCAATGTCTTTAGTGAGTATCATTATTAATCATTCAGGCGTATCATCCATCAAAGTATTAGTTATTGCTCTGTACCTTCTTTCAAGGTCTCTGACGTAAAACTCGAATCAAGGTCGTTCCAACAGGGCTGTCTAAATTTACTTTTTAATTTGTGAAATTTCATATAATTTTTTCGCAAATTTAATTAAAAATTAAATAACAAATAAATACCGTGTGACAGACTTTTAGATATAATTTAGTGCTGTGAAAGTGAAACTGTGTTAGTTAATTCCCTTTCGGAAATATTCTTGTGTGTTTATCAACTAAGATTGTAAATGACTTTTATTATACGTATATATACCGGACTTGACATGACAATCACTCTTCAGTTTCTCTCTGACCTGTTTACTGTGCGTGTGTACTTGTTCTCGTGCTATTGAAACTATTTTATTTTTATGAATGAAAAGTGACAGAAGATTGTTTTAAAAAGTAGAAAATTTGAAAATAATATTAAATAAAATGGCTTTGGAAGATTATAAGGATATTGTGGGAACGAGTGCGGCAATTTCTACTGTGGGACAAATGTTAGCAGGAGTGTAAGTCATTTTATTTCTTATACAATAAACATAAAATTTATCAAGAAAATATGAAATTCATGATAAGTTGCAAGATAAATTATATATTCAGAGATAAAAGACATGAATGTCTCTAACTATTGCTATGCTTGTCTTAAAAATTATAAAAATAGTTAATAATCCGAATTTTTAAGGTTAGAAGATTTCTATTTTTATTTTTGTTTATTTTAGAGATTTCGGAGCAAAAATTAAAACACATTTTTTCAATAATTAAAATACATTAATATTTTAAAGAAGATTCACAATTTTAAATATATAATTGAAAATTGTAAACAATAAATTCAAAGTGATAATATTTTTTTTATTTAAAAAGGAAAAATTGTAATTACTATGTATATATTTTAATTTATATAAACAAATTGATTCTAGATTAATATGCAAGGACATTTACAAAAAACAATCGTCTAAAAATATTGATCCGATGCCATTTATTGGCGGTCTGGGAATGTAAGTTAATTACTTAATTATCAATTATATCTATAAAAATTATTATTCTTTATAATTTAATTAATTTAAAAAATTTTTTTTCAGGAGTGTCTTAGTGCTTCAATATGCATTAATTCTCCAAGACTTTGCGATGATAAATGTGAATGTTGTCGGATTTGTATTAAACGTTCTCTACACTGGATTTTATTATTCTTATTGTCCAACAAAAGTAAGTTGCTGAATTGTTAAAAAAATTGTAAAAACATAAAAAAATTATAAAAATATCCTACTAAAATTTTTAATTCAAAAAAAGTTGTTCGAAAAGTCTTCCCTCAGTTTTACTAATAATTAATTTAAAACTAATTACATAATTAATTAAAATTATTACTTTCCAAAATTTCTAAACGTTCAAATAAACAATATTTTTTGCTATAAATATTTTCGAAAATTACCAATTGCATTAAAAATAAAAACCGTAATTTAAACATTTTGAAACTTTATGAAATAATTTAATTACTGGCGAAATATTATTGCAGAACAAAATTTTCAAAAATTGAAAAAGAAATAAATAAATTTTGTTCAATTTTTCCGTTTTTTGCTTCCAGTCGAATCTTCTGTCGACATTAGGAAAAACGGCTGCATTCGTTGCAATAATTATTGGCTATGCACAATTGGAAAATGAATCCAAAGTGGAATTTCGATTTGGAATTATTGTCACGACAGTAATGTTTCTATTACTCGCATCGCCGCTCATTCATTTGGTAATTATATTCTTAAACACTAATTAATATTTCTATTTTATGGTAATTTTTTTTTACAAAGGCATTTTTCAATATTTTTATTCATTTCAGGGAGAAATTATCAAGACTAAAAGTACGGAAATGCTTTCATTTCCCATTATATTTATGGCAACAATCGTCACATTCCAATGGCTCTTATATGGTCTTATCATTGACAATAGTTTCATAGTTGTAAGTAAACAAATTGATAAGAATTTTAAAATGTTGCATTTCAACTTTAGTTAAATTTAATTTTTTGTTTAAAGTAATTTATTTCTTTTATCTTTTTAATTTAAAAATAGAACAGATAACATTTTTTTTCCTTTTTTTTATAAGTTGTTTATATAATAATTAATTAGTAATTTATAATAATTTTCTGTATTAATAATCGTTATTTTCTAGTAGTCTGATAGTTTTGTTTTATTTTTGTTTTCAAATTATTTTTTTTTTTTATTATTTATTTCTCTTTTTAACTGTTTTGTATTTTTAACTTATGAAATAATAAAATTTACAATAAATAAAATAAAATTAATGAAATAAATGAAATAAATTATTACAGAAAATTTAATATTTTGAAGATTAAATGCTATTAAAAATGAATTAAACCAAATTGTTTTAAATTAAAAATACTAATTTAAACTAATTATTTACTTTCGAGAAATGTTGTTAAATTTTTTTTAAATAATTGAATTTCTCCAAAAACAATTGTATTAATTATGAAAATATAATTGAAATCTTGCTGAGAATTTTATTGAAATTTTCCAAATAATATATACAGAATTCTTTCGAGAAATCAAATTGAAGTTGCATTAAAAATAAATTAATTTTTATAAAGAATTTAATACACAATTTTTCCAAAATAATTGAATTTCTGCGAAGAATTTTATTATTTATAAAAATAATTTAATTCTTTCGAGAAATTCAATTACAATAGTATTAAAAATAATTAAATTCTCAAAAAGAATTTTATCAAAATTTTTCAAAATAATTGAATTTCTGCGAAAGATTATATTATTTATGATAATAATTGATTTTTTCGAAGTATTTAATTAAATTGTTTTTCTTATAAAGAATTTTATTAAAAATTTTGAAAATCGATAAATTCTTTCGAGAAATTTAATTAAAATTGTATTAATAATAATTGAAGTCTTAACAAAGAATTTTATCAAAAATTTTCCAAAATAATTGGATTTCTGCGAAATATTTTATTATTTACGAAAATAATTGAATATTTTTGTAGAATTTAATTAAATTTGCTTCTTGTAAAGAATATTTTTTTAAATTATTATTCAAAATATAATTTTTGGTTTAGAATTTTGTTAAAATTGTTTTAAATAATTAAATTCCCACGAAGAATGTTATAAATTATGTTAATAATGTTTATTTTATAAAGTTTATAATTAAAATCTTGCTAAAAATTTTATTAAAAATTTCGAAAATAATTGAATTTCTAGGAAAAATTCAATTAAAATTGTATTAAACATAATAATTGAAGTCTTGAAAAAGAATTTTATCAAAAATTTCCAAAATAATTGAATTTCTGCGAAGAATTGCATTATTTATGAAAGTAATTGAATATTTTTGAAGTATTTAATTAAATTTTCTTCTTATAAAGAATATTTTTTCAAAATTATTCAAAATATAATTTTTGGTTTCGAATTATTAAAATTGCTTTAAATAATTAAACTCCCGCGAAGAATTTTATTAATTATGAAAATATTTGAATTTTTTCCAGAAATTCAATTAAAATTGTATTAAAAATAATAATTGAAGTCTTTTATTTTTTTTTATCAAAATTTTCCAAAATAATTGAATTTCTGCGTAGAATTATAAAATTCTACGCAGAAATTCAATTATTTTGGAAAATTTTGATAAAAAAAAAATAAAAGACTTCAATTAAATAATAATAATAAATAATAATATAAATCGTAAATAATAATATTTACGAAAATAATTGAATATTTTTATAGAATTTAATTAAATTTGCTTCTTATAAAGAATTTTTTTTCTAAATATTCCAAAATAATTGAGTTTTTGCGAAGAATTTTATTATTTACGAAAATAATTGAATATTTTTGTAGAATTTAATTAAATTTGCTTCTTGTAAAGAATTTTTTTTCAAAATTATTCAAAATATCAATTTTGGTTCAGAATTTTATTAAAAATTTCGAAAATAATTGAATTCTTTCGAGAAATTCAATTAAAATATTGTAGATATTAAAAATAATTGAATTCCCGAAACAGAATTTTATCAAAATTTTTTAAAATAGAATTTTTACGAAGAATTTGTACTCATTAACATTAAATTAATATCAGTTCCAGAATGCGGTTGGATTCACACTTTCTGCATCCGAATTACTTTTATTCGTCATCTTCCCCTCGACTCCTGCTAAAACTGCATCTTCAAAGGCTGCTAAGAAGGATAAATAATTTTTACGACGATTCTCTACAACTGTGATATTTTACATTCCTTAGTAGAAATCGATAATTAGAACTGAAAATTTTTAATTAGAAAAAGAATTTAAATTCGTCTTCTTTTTAATTCATTCTCAATTTCAAATTTCTCTTTCTCTCTCTAAAAAAAAATCTAGTACAATGCAAACAAAGAAATAGTGTTTCATCATATTTTAATATCTCAATTTTTAAATCTATTTAAGAAGGGACTATAAAATTGACTCTTAGATTAAAAATACAAATATTGCTATAGACAATGACATTAAATAATATTAAAGTTCCTAATAATATTATGAAAAAAACTAGTAAAATTGGTATAGATAAAATAATGTAGATAAAAACAAGTGACCTCTATTTTTCTTATAAAATACAAAAGAAAATGTAATTAATTTCGAATTATTCGCTATTGAAAGATTGAAATTAATATTATTTTGTTTATATCCATACAGTGAAGGACAAATAATTACAATTCACTATTGTTAACTAGCGTTAAAATAATTAAAATTATGCAATTACTTTCAAAGAGAATGTTGCCTTCTATGTTAAATCTATTTTTTGTAACTTAAACATTTTACATAAATAAAAATTTATCTTTTAAAAAATAATTTTTTTACTCCTACCAAATCAAAAATATTGAAAAAAAAAATTAATTAAGAAGAGAAGAAATTTTTTTTTATAATCGCATTATTTATTTACAATTCTTTAGCTTAGTATAATTATGCTATGTATTGATTATAATTAATAATTCTTAATATATTCTAGAACAATATCATTCATAGTTTTTTTTACCGGTATTATTAATGGGAGCCTGCGTTCTATTTACACATTAGTCTAAATCTACATCGAGTATCTCTTGATAAAGTCATTCACCAGTCTTTACAGGAAGATTCAAAGTCGAATAAATTTATGAAGAGATGTGAGGATCGTCTCTAACAAAAAAAAAAAAAACAAAACAAAACAAATACGAAATAAACTATTAAAGCCAAAATGCTGTGCACTTGTTCATAATTTATTGAAAATCTAATAAAAATATGAATTATAAAGCAGTGGAAGAAATGTTTGATAAAAACGAAAATTATTTTAACAATAAATAAATGGCGTGAATGAACGAGTTTATTCACATGATATTACTTCCTGAAGTCAACATCAATGTTTTTATAGTCAACATCACAGCCATAGGAAGCAATACTGTGTTAAGCGATGATTCGAGCATTAATTACAATTAAGTGCCACGTATAATATTCTGAAAATGTTAATTCAAAACTAAAAAAATGAAACTTTAAAAAAAAATCTTATATTATTTTTATAAACTTTAAAAGGAACTTTAAAAACTTTGAGGAAAATTACAAATCAAAGATTCTACAAAAAAATTAAATATAATATATAACAAACATTTTTTTAATTATTGTACATAAATCAAGTATGTAAATGAAATCTAAAAAAATTATTAAGAGACTAATATAAAATTTCAAGACATTATTTTCTAAATGGTTGAAAATTATTTTCAGTATATTTTCACTATTTCCATAATTTTGAGAACGTCTTGAGTAAAGATCACCTCATCTCTTTTAGAACAATAAATAAAATTTCAATTTGAAGTCAAGTAAAGCTTTTTTTTCTCTTCGACTTTTACAAAAACATGTACAAGCTTCCCATTCATATTTTCTTTTTCGCTTTCGTGATTTTCATGCAAAAAAAAAAATTGATTTTACGCTCGACGAAACTTGAAAGAGTAGAAAAATCTTAATTGATCTCGAGGATTTGTTTTTTTATATTTTCATAAGAATTTTTAATGGCATTTTTTAAATTACTGTTACGATGACATTAGTTGAATATAAGGGGACAAAAACTTTTTTTAACTCGACAGCAATATTTTCAACAAATTTCTACAACATCCACGACAAGATTATTTTTTTTGAAAAAATATTTTTCACCGTCAGGATTATAGTGTTTTTTTTGAAAAACACAACTCGAAATTTAACTAATTTATATTTAAAATATTTAGATCCTAATTACGAAACTTGAAATAGTCTTTTAATTATTGTTTTCAGTTTCGAACTATATAAAATATTCCAACAAGAATTCATTTCATTTTATCAGACTTTGTAACATGTCTCTACAGCAACTCTTTTTAATCACATAGCAATTTACAAAATTGACTTAATCAGTCATATATTCACAAACAATTCTCGTGGATACTGTTTACAATATTTCCGATCGTATTATTTACTCGAGGGCATAATTTACATTAAAGAAAGCAAAAAAAAAAAAAATTAATAGTTTTACAAAAAAAAAATTATTTTTGTACTCAGTGGATACAAAAAGAATTTTCTTTCTTCTAATTGGGCCAGCGACCTGCACTTGGCACTTTTGTTTTTTCAATTATTTAACTATCCAAGAAATATACATGTATGTGTGTGTGTGTGTGCTTATTTTTATCATCGTAACAACGTCTGGATTGAAAGAAAAATTACTTTGCCAATAATAGACTTTTTTGAAACATAAAATATATTAGTTTCGTTTCACTATTTAGGTGGATACTTAACACGTCAGGATTCACCTAACTCCTTGTCACTTTCAACAATACCGGTGAGGATGTTTGCTGTTGAAAATAGAGTCCCGTTCCTTGAAAACTACTTCGTGTGATTGGCGGCTGAAATCCTGATACACTCGGCGTATCCTCCGTTTTACTTGGCTCTGGAGTTATGCGCTTTATATCTTTATTTCGTTGCAAAACATATTTGAAAAATTCGTATCTGCAAAAATGGACAAAAAAAAGTTGAATTAATTTCCATGTGGAAATAAAAAAGAAACAACGAAAAAAGCGATTTTTGTTTTTAATAGGGAAAATAGTCATTTTGTTTCTAAGACGAAACAAAAATTTTAATTTTGTTTCTAAGTCCGTAACTTTACTTGAAGTCCGTAAAAGTCAGTTTTTTTGAAAAAAGGTCCGTAAAGTCCGTAATTTGATTGAAAAAAGTTGAAAAGTTCGTAAATTGTACGATATAATTTGGATAATTTTAAATAAATTACAAATGATTGCAGAAATTCAATTATTCTGCGAAATTCAATTATTTTCAAAAAATTTAATAAAATTCTTGGCAAAATTTCAATTATATTTAGAAATAATTAAATTCTTCTCCAAAATGCAATTATTTTCAAAAAATTTAATAAAATTCTTTGCAAAATTTCAATTATTTTCAAAAAATTTCCTCAATTCAATGATTTTCAATATCCACTATTTTCATAAAATTTTCCAAAATAATTCAATTATTTAATAGAAGCTTTAATAAAATTCTACACAAACTTTTAATTATTTTCAAAAAATAATAAAAATTTTACAGGAATTTTATTATTTACAAATATTTTTATAAATTTCTTCGCAATCATTCAATTATTTTCATAAATAATAAAATTTTTACGAAGATTCAATTATTTTCGTAAGTAATAAAATTCTTTTTAGGAATTCAATTATTTTCATAAATAATAAAACTCATTGCAGAATTTCAATTATTTTTTTAATACAATTTTTAACCGAATTCCTAGAAAATATTCTAAAAAATTTTATTAAAATCAGTTAAAAGAATTCAATTATTTAAGAATTTGTGAATAAAATTCTTTATGAGATTCAATTTTAAGAAACATGCAATTATTCCAATAAATTGTTATTTTTGTATTTAAATAATTGAATTCTAGAAGAATTTTCTCATAAATATTGATTTAAAAGTGGATTAAAATTTTAGATTATAATTGAATTTTAAAAACATTAGACCGTAAATTTTTTAGAAATAATTGAATTTTGAAAAGTTTTCAGATTAAAATCTTTGAAAATTTGAATTTTTCATATTTTTAACTAACAATTCTGTGGAATTAATTTTTTTTTTGAGAAACTTTAATTGCGGAATTAAAGTCGATCCAAGGCCTGAAATTGTAAATTTAATTTCTAATAAGAAACAAAATAGTCATTTTTTTTAAACAATCAAATTAAGAAATATTTCAATCTAAAAAATCTGTTATCTCGTTATCTTGTGAATGAGAGTTTCATTTAATAAAAGAAGATAAGGTTTATCGCTTGATTGATAAAGATAGTGTAAAACAATGTGATGAGGGAAAAGAAGAGAAAAAAAAAGATTTGTCTCTTACGTTCTTGAGAAAAAACTTGCAAGTTCATTGTGTGACAATTTACAATATTTATAATATGCACGTTGAATGGAATTTAATTAGAGTTCACTTACGTCGTCCAACAAATAGCAGCACCTGGCATTTGAGATAAAATTCGTGCATTTAGTCCACGAAAATAGCCAGAAACGCCTTTTAACCTGTAGACAATTTTGAAAGCCTCGACCATTCCCTGTGGTTGAACGCCGGCTTGTTGTGTATTTAAAAGTGTCTTGCAAACATCCAAAGGCGTTGTGGCCGCCGCCGAAGCTGCTCCTGCCATTGCCCCTGAAATTTTATTTTGTTTAAACGTTAAATTTCTTTTGTTCTTCATTTTACTTAAAATTTATGATATTAATTAAATAAAATTTATTATGTAGATCAATTCGAATTTATTATAGAAAATAATTTGAAATTGTTATAATTTATTATGCAAACTAGCAAATGTTTTTTATTTTAAAATATGAATTTTTGAATAATTTCAGGTTCAAAATTTAAAAAATTCAATTATTTTTATTAATAGTATAATTTTTTTGCAAAAATCCAATTACTTTTAAACAAAATTTTAATAAAATTTCACAAATAAATACAATTATTTTCTAAAATTTTAATAAATCCTTTCAAAAAATTCAATTATATTTATAAATATGAAATTCTTTGCAAAAATTCAATTATTTTCAAAATAATTTCACGAAAAAATTCAATTTTTTTCTAAATTCGTTATAAAATATTTCTAAAGAATTCAATTATTCTCAAAAAATTTTAATAAATCTTTCGAAACAATTCAATTTTATTTATAAATAGTAAAAATCTTTGCAAAAATTCAATTATTTTTAATACAATTTTATTAAAATTTCAAGAAAGAATTCAAATTTAAAAAATTTTAATAATATTTTTCGAAAAAATTCAATTATTTTCTAAAATTTTAATGAATCTTTCAAAACAATTTAATTATATTTATAAATCGTAAAATTCTTCGCGAGAATTCAATTATTTTCCTAAATAATAAAATTCTTCGAAGGAATTCTATTATTACCAAACTTTTTGTTGAAATCCTTTGCAAAAATTCGATACATTAATTTTAAAATTGAAAATATTTAAAAAGAAAAATTATTGAAAAAGTTAAGAAAATAAATTTGAAATTCTTATAATTTCTTATAGAAATTAATTTAAATTTATTATTGAAATTAATCTGAAATTATTAAAATAATTTTGTTTCTCTAAACTATTTAAAAATTTCGACAAAAAATATTCTCAACAAGAATTTTTCAAATTATTTTTGATAAAATTTAGTTGAAAGGAAGTATTTTTAGTTTACTTTCTTTGAATAACAATTACAAAATTTGTGTCACAACGATGCAAACTTTCACTCCAGAATTTCAGCTTTTATTTGCCGAAAGTGTATCATTTTCGATCGAAAAATTCTGATTTTAAATAAAAGAATTACCAAACTATTTTCCTATTAAAGAATTTTTCTTAATTTAATAGAATTCGACTTTTTTCTATTATTGAAATATTAAAATTGAAAAAAATTTGAATTGAAATTTCGTGTTGATTCGATTTCTATGACAATTTTAAGTATTTTACAAGGAAATAAAGTAGAAAAATAATTATACAAACAAACATTAAAATTTTGTTTTGCAAATTAAAGAAGAAAATTATTAACTTACCGGAAACAACATGTGCAAGGGGATTATATTCATGTTGTGGATTCGTAAACGATTGAGAAAGTTCATAAGCAATAAAATGGATACTTTGAAGAGGCACATTCATAATTAATTGTGTTGTGTAGCTTCGATAAAAGGCGATAATTCCTTCCGTTTTATACACATGTAAAATACAATTCATTATATTTCGATATGGCGAATTGTACATTTGAAGACGTTGTTTGACCACTGAAAAATTCGATAATGAAAATTATATTAATATTTTCTCCACTTTATGCAAATATATTTTATGAAAAAGTATTTGGCCAAGTTTACAACGTTCACGATCAACGATTTAAATATTCTTATTGCTTTTAAATATTAATAGTTCTCCACGCAAATTTTTATAAACTATTGGTAAAAAGAAATTTTTTCCAAAATTTCCTGAACCACCATTTTTAGGAGAAATATTTTTAACGTTGATGAACTTCACAAAGTTTATGATCAACTATCTAAAGAAAAAAATACTTTTTACGTATAAAACAATAGCATTTTTTGTTTACAAATTTATATTTTTTAAATTGTCGATAAAAAAAATATTGTAAACAATTTTTTAGACAAAAAATTGAAAGAAACAAATCAGAAGAAATTTTAATTAATTTTCTTCTAATTTGTCAATTAAGAACGTTGTAAACTTCACAAACGTCATCTTTACAAATATTTTATTATTTTTCTTGCGGAAAATATAAATTTTCTTTAATCGAAATTAAAATTAAATTTGACAAACGAAATTTATTTGTAAACTTGACCCAAATGAATAAAAAAAAATACTTTTTCTCTCTAGTGAAAATTGTGACAAAAAATGTGAAGAATTTAAGAGTTATTGACAATTCAAACCTTCTGCTGGATTCATTACTGCGTCATGAATGAAAGTCGCCGCGCAACCTGCACTTCCATAAATAAGAGGATTAAAATGTGTTGCCATATTATAGCTGAGCATTGAATTTTTCAGAAATTCATAACATGAAAAATAAAGAGCGTGCGCTGGTCCAGCTCCAGCGATCATTACACCAACTCCACGAAACGGCCTCAAAACTCCTTCTTGTCGCATCATTCTACTCAGGACTAATGAAATACTTCCTCCACCTCCTCCGGGACCAGGTGTTATTGCCTGCATTCTTGTCTGCAAAGGGAAATAAAAATTAGTCTCAAAATTAACAAAAATAGAAAATGTGAATTAAAAATTAAAATTAAAAATCATAAACTTGACTAAAATCAGAAATTAATAATTTTATTAAAAATTAATCAATTAGAAATTAATGAATGAATAAAAAATTAACCAATTACTCAGAAATTAGTTAATTGGAAATTCAATTTGTAACTAATTTAAAATTTCTATTCAAAAAATTTTTTTCATTGTTATGTAATTTACATTCAATGGAAGATAAACTATCGAAAAAGACAAAAGAGAAAAAGAGGGGGAGAGATCAAAAAATCCATTTCATGACTTGCAGGAAAATTTTATGACTTGCAGTAAATCATTTAATTCTTACATTAAAAAAAAAATAATAGTTAATTTTTCCAGGAAAGAAGTTGACGGAAAAAAATAGTGAAAATTCCATGATAGAAAATAATTTCTAAATTTTCTTACAAATTGTATACAGATATTTATTTTTCTTTACTCTATTTATTTAAATGTATTTAAATAATAAATTTAACAGAAGCATTCAATTAAGTATGAGTTGTAGTTGGCAAAAGAGAATCAAAAATAGAATCAACCACATTAGACTAGTTACATAATATAATGGAAATACAAGAAGTGTTAAGATTTGCAACTTTTTTTCATCAACCGACAATTGTTGTTTTTTCGACATTGTTATTGATATTTTCTCGTGGAAATTTTTTTAGAGGAAAAAAGATATTTGAAAAAGTAATAAATTTGAAAATTGTATGGAAAATTGTTTTCAAACATTGTTTTGAAAATTGTTTTTAAAAATTGTCTATTTAAAAAAATCTTGTAGAAATAAATAGTATAAACGATTATATTATTAAAAATTCTAAAATTGTAATTCAATAGCGATTCAATTGTCTTCGGTGAAATTTAATAGTTATGCAATAACTATATTTTCGTAACTTTACACAATTCATTCTTTTTTTTTCTAAACTCATAATATACAATAAATGAATCGATAACTACATTTTAGAAACAATATAATTGAATAAACGAGGACGTGTTAACAATTATTGTTATTAATAGTTTGCCTCACATATAAGGGCAAAAATAGTGAATCATAAAATGAAAACACATGTGACTTTATATGAAGTGTAAAAAAAACTTAAATTCAAATTAAAATACAAATGACAGCGAAATTACGCTTATCTCATATAATTAGAAATAATATATGTACATTTTTTGTCTTTTATTTCGTCATATCTCATTAAATTTTAGCATTATCAACATGATTATTCGAATTATTATTAGTGGATATTAAAAAAATTGTACTTTACGTGAAATATAATTGACAAATAAAAATAATGCTTTGGAATGTTAACAAAATAAATATAGTTTTTAGATCTTCGTGAAAATACTTCTTTCTAACTGAAAAAAATCATTGTTCATTTAATAATTTATATTTATTAAATGCTAGAATTATAATTTATTTTTTTATTATTATATTATAAATTTATTTAAATTTCTGTCGTGATTTAGAAAAAACCCATTCGTTATTCAAAATTTAAATAAAATTTTGAGATTTTCGTACAATTGAAAAATGTTCATTTTTTTAAAATTATGCAATAAATTTTATAAATTTGTTTTTTTGTATTCGCAAAAAACCGGTCTACTTTTATATAATGATAATATTTAAATATTGGCGCATAAATTTTCGGGATTTGAACAAAATTTCTTTTGTAATGTATTTTTCTCAATTGAAAAAAATAATTTCGAACAATATTTTTATTAGATGATTCAGAATAAATAAGTTTTTATTTTATGCGCACTAAAAATGTAAATTATTCACAAGCGGTAATCGCTGGAATGGCTTTCGCTTTTCCTTATGCTTTCAAAGTAGGCCACGTCTATAACCTAAAAATTTTACTCATTAACGTATAACAATACTGTCAATGATTTCTTTCGAAATAGAAGTAAACTAATTTTGAAATGTAATTAAAACCAATCAACTTTAATGATATATTTTGAATTTGTCCTCAAAAAAAACTTAAAGCTCTAAGGTTATAAACTGACAGGTGCATGCCGCACCTGTACAAGAGCACTGAACTATAGAATTAACTAAAAAATTAATAATAAAAAACAATAAAAAGAATTCAAATTCTAAAAAATCTATTTTGAAAATTTTGAACATTTTGAACAACTTTTGCAAAAACTTGCAAAGACACAAAATTTGTGATTTCTCTTTCTCATTTTTTTTTCGAAATTTTGTAATAAATTATGTGATTTCGCAGAATTTTCGACATGTTTACTTCAATTGAATCTTGATAGTAATATTCTCCTCGTGTGTTAGAATGTAAATTTAAAATATGCTCCGATTTCTCTGAAAAGGAAAACTTTGATTACAATCTTCTGCAATTGACAATGACAATCATTTTGCCAAAAATAGTTCAACATTTCGAAAAATCTGGAAAAATAATATTATTTTAATAGGGAAAAAGAAATGCAAATAATTTATTGACGATCAACAGTACAATGATCGTGACGCAATTGTAAATTTATGACGATTGAAAAACACGCCTGATGAAGAAAACGACAAAAATTTTTTTCGTAGAGGTTATGTAAAGATTATGGGAAAAATTGACGGAAGAGAGGAGCAAATTACCTTGACACTGTCAAGAGGATACATGACACAGTGTTCCATGATCCCGGCGAAGGCACCAGCAATCATATGAACTCCCACAGACGATGTAGGTAAACTCTCATAATCCTCTACATTCATGATCTCAATTTCAACTTCCTCGATATTAACAGCTTCTTTGAACAATTTATTTCCACTTCCAATATATACATTCAGTTGTAATTTTTCTTAAATTTGATTCTTTTTTTTTATATTAAAATTGATAAGAAATATTGCGGATGTAGATAAGGAGATAGATTGTTACGTGATTGAATATTTCCAAAAAAAAAGAAAAAACTTGCAGGTTTTTCAAAGCGAAGTTGCACTCATAAAAAAACACACACTATTTACATTTGTTTTTGTTAGAATTTAAGGACAAGATATTTTTTTTTATTGACTACGTTTCGCGAGTCAAATCGCGAAAGATAACTTTCGCGAAAGACATGAACGCAATCATTGACGGCGTCTTTCGTATATGCTCGGTTCTAATGTGGCTCAAATGAGGCCGCGTTGCTGAATATACACTCCCGGCAGGCAAGGGAATATAATTGTAAAATGAGAAATCCCCTCTTCACTTTTATTTCCACGTTATTGAGAATATACGTAATTTTTCTTATTCATTCCACGTTATTGCAATTCGTCAATTGTGACAAGGTGTAATTTAATGACAATTGTAATTTGTATGTTAAAAAAAGTAGTTGCGAAAGAGATTTTAAATGATTTAAAGAAGAGAAAAAAAGTGAGGTTATGTTTTAGAGCACGTGGCGCGCATGCGCTTATCAAACCACGTGGTTAAATGTCAGCATCCTCTTGCGGTCAAAACGTCAAGTTCTCAATTTCGTGATTTTTGCAAAAAATCTTTTCTTTCTCAATTTATGAGATTATTTTATTCAAAAGGTATCATTTTTTCTTTGTACCTACGTTTTATTCGGTACTTAATTTTCCGAGGGCTCTACAAGTCTTGGTCTTGACATTTGGCTTGTTTACAATTACAGTAAATCAACACGTGACTCAATAAATTGTAACTGTATAAATTAATCTAAATTTAAAAAATATATCTAAAAGTGTATTTTCCTTTTTGTTAAAAGTTGAATAGTATTTTAATACTTTGAGAGAATTCGTGTATGAACTTTGTTCCTTTTTGAAAAGTGCGCGGAATTTCAGTTGCAGTGCATTGTGGGTAGACGCGCATGCGCAATGAATATCATATCCATATGTTCCATGCCCTTGATGGCGTAAGATAAAATATAAAAATTTGTTGGTTAGTTTTTGTAATTAATAAAGAAAAATAGATTTTTTCTTGAGAATAAACTATGGCTTTGGTGTCCGCAAGAACAATTTTAAGCCCAAGTATGTTTTATAGTATTTTAACTATTTTATTCAATGGTTTTTAATAGTCTTTGCTTATTAAATTGCTCTTACAAAATCGATGCCGACACTCTTCACATGCATTTTTTTTTAGAGGCGAAAGAGAAAAAAAAACTTAACCAAAATGTGATGAAATTTATAAATATCAACGATTATTTCTTAATTAATTGCTATTCTTTTTTTGTTTTAGTAACTCGTCAATCCCTTGGCATTTCAGCTTTTAACAGACAATTCGTCAAATTTGTAAGTTCCATTCATTTTTCTGCGGTGTAAATGGTGTAGTAAGCTTAGAAATGTAATGTTACAAAAATACTTTTAATAGTATTTTATTATTTTAATCTTAACTTTAAATTTTATCAGCAGAAGTACTCGCTTAGGAATTTATTGTTTATAACAGTTATTTTACGAATAGTTTATTTTTTTGCAATTGTAACATTCGTTAATAATTGAGACTTTCTGTTTAAAGGATCGTCAAAATGAAGTAAAAACAAAATTGTTTTTGCCGACAATTGTCGCTCAGAGATTTTATGCAGAGAAAGAGGTTTATGCGAGAACAAAACCTCATTGCAATGTGGGTACAATTGGCCATGTTGATCATGGAAAAACAACTCTAACAGCGGCTATAACACAAGGTAAAAATAATTTGTAAAATAGTTCGAGAGAGAGAAAGTTTTTAATTCTGAAAGTGAAATAATTTCATTGTTATTTTTATTTTAGTGCTCTCGGAGAAGGCATTGGCGAAAGCAAAAGCTTACGGTGAAATTGACAATGCTCCTGAAGAGAAAGCTCGAGGAATAACAATTAACATTGCTCATGTTGAATATCAAACGGATAATCGACACTATGGACACACTGATTGTCCAGGTCATGCCGATTACATAAAAAACATGATCACAGGAACGGCACAAATGGATGGTTCCATTTTAGTTGTTGCCGCAACTGATGGTGTTATGCCACAAACACGAGAGCATTTACTCCTCGCCAAGCAAATTGGTATTGAGCACGTTGTTATTTTCATCAACAAGGTATTTAGAATCTTAAGACTTCGGCTCTTTTTATTAATTTTTTTGTTTTCTATTATATAATTTATTAAAATTTATTTTTTTATTTATTTAAATTCTATAAACGTGTTTAAAAAATTTATTTTTTAAAAATGATTCAAGTTTTAAATAATATAATTTTTAGAAATAGTTAAATTTTTTTTCTAGGTGGACGCCGCTGATGAGGAAATGGTCGAACTCGTCGAAATGGAAGTTCGTGAATTAATGACAGAAATGGGTTTTGACGGTGAGAAGTGTCCAGTGATAAAGGGCAGTGCCCTTTGTGCTTTGGAGGGAAAAAGTAAAGAGATTGGCGAGGACTCAATTTTAAAATTATTGGAAGCAGTCGATAGTTTTATTCCAACTCCAATGAGAGATCTTGATAAACCGTTTGCAATGCCAGTTGAGGGTGTACATTCAATTCCAGGACGAGGAACTGTTGTGACAGGACGATTGGAGCGTGGTATCATTAAAAAGGGCACTGAATGTGAATTTGTTGGTTATAACAAAGTTTTAAAAAGTGTCATCTCAGGAGTTGAAATGTTCCATAAAATTCTCGACGAAGCACACGCGGGCGATCAATTGGGTGCTTTAGTAAAAGGCCTAAAACGTGATGACGTTAGACGCGGTATGGTCATGTGTAAGCCAGGAACAACAAAAGCTTGCGATCATGTTCAAGCTCAAATGTATATGCTGAGTGCCAGTGAAGGTGGACGATCAAAACCAATTTCTAATTACATTCAATTGCAAATGTACAGTAGAACTTGGGATTGTCCGGCATTAATTGTCATACCAGGAAGGGCAATGGCCATGCCCGGAGAAGATGCCGGGTAATTATTTCTCTTTTCTTCTTATTTTAGATAAAATTAAATAGATTAAAAAAATAAAAGATAATTTAATAATAATAATAATAAAAATAATTTTTTCTTTTTTCAGAATTGAAATGAAATTGTACAGGCACGTGGTTATGGAAAAGGGGCAAAGATTCACATTGAGAGATGGAAGCAAAACGTTAGGAACCGGAGTTATAACGAAAGTCCTACCAAATCTAACGCATGAAGAAAAACAACTCGTTATGGAAGGAAGGAAAGCAATAGAAGCTATAGAAAAGAAGAAGGCGCATGGAAAGTAATTGTAGCTAATTATAAGAATTATTTTGTAAATTAACTTTAAGTAATAGAGATAAAAAAAGAAGCGATCACTCACAAGTCGATTTGAATAATTTTATATCGTACTTTGCAAATATTTATATAAAATTTAAAGACTTAATTTTTCGAGAGTATATTGTGAGTATTGTTTGTGTAGAATAATTTTTTTTTTACTATTTAACTTTGTGGAAAAATTCTTTTTCTTGTAACTTGGTTAAATAAACTTCAAAGAACATTTTAATATTTCTTTTTTATATTCAGGCCTCGGATTGACTTTAACGAGCAAAACAAAGTCGCTTTAGTCGATTAAAAATAGAAAAAATTCAAAAAAGTAGTTTATTTAATTCAGTGTTGTCAAAAAAATTTTATTTTGTATTTTCCTGAATCTTCACTGATTTCTAAATTCAATTAATCAAAACTTGAATAATTTTGCTAAATAAATATTTCAATACTTCTTATTTATTTTTTTTCAGAAAATAAAATTAAAGAAACGTCAATATCTGAAATTTAATAATTCCTAAAAATTAAAACTATAACTCTTCCAAAATTCAATTATTTTCTAGAATTTTTAACTAAACTTCATCACTTAATTAATTATCTATATTAATTTTTAATAATTTTCCGAAAGTTTTTCGAGAATTATTTTTAATATTAAATAAATTCCTCGAAAATTGCAATTATTTTGAAAAAATTTCTTAGGTATAAGAATTCAATTTTTAGAAATACTCAATTATATATTCAATAAATTATCTATTTCTGTATTTAAATAATTGAATTCTCGTTGAATTTTCTAATATAGTTTGATTTAAAAGATGAATTTCAGTTACAATTTTAGTGAATTTAATTCTTTTTCGAGAATTCAATTATTTAAATACAAAAATTCAATTTTTTACAATAATTGAAAATGTCCATTTTTCTTTTTAAAGATATGAAGGTAGAATATTTTCAAAAATTTTAATAAAGAAATTCTTCATATTAATTTTTTAAAAATATTTTTAAATAAGTTTTGAAAGACAATTTTAAACAATTAAAAAATGTTCAAAAAATTGAAAAAAAATATAATAAAAAAAAAAAAAACAAAAAAAAATATAATAAATATAATAAAAATATAATTGAAATTTAATAAAATCTTTGAAAAATAATTAAAATTTGGTAACGTAATTTTTTGAAAATAATTGAATTTATACAAATAAGTTTTGTATTATTTAAAAGAAAACTAATTGATTTTTTGAAGAATTTTAATTAAAAATTTTAAATATGATTATTTTCTTTAAAATGTTAAAAATAATTCTAAAAAATTCTAATGTTATTATTTTTTGTATGTATTTGAATTTTCGGAAATATGCGTAATGGAATATTAAAAATTATAATGAAAAAATTTTGAGAATTACTTTTTTCAAAAATATTTTAATACCTATAATTCTTAGAAACTAATTTCCATTAATTTTCATTTTTATTAAATTTACACTTGAAGATATTTCATTAATATTTTTGAGAATTAAATTATTTTCAAAATTTTGCAAATTGAAATTCTTCAAAAATTGATTTTCAAAATTTATAATAAAATACTTGACAGAAATAAAATAGTTTCAAGTAAATTTTACAAAATTTCAATTATTCAAAAGCTTTTTAATTATTGTATTTTTCAAAAATTTACTTAGAAAAATTATTCAAAAATAACTTTTCAAAAATTTGTCTATTATACTTTTCGCACTAATAAAAATTGAAATAAGTTATAGTTTATTCTAAAAATATGATATTTTGTCGCAAAATTTGTAAAAAAAAGTCGAAAAAGTAGCAATTTTTTAATATGAGTCGATAAAAGTATCATTATTTGAAAATAGTCGAAAAAGTCATAATATCCGAGGCCTTTTTTTTATAATTAAAAAAATAAGAAAAAATATAAAAATACAATATTTAAAATAAGAGACTTTATTAAAAGAGACAATATATCATTCACGTTTTTATTAAATTCAGACATCAGAAATACAATCCGCTCAAGGTAGTCCAATCAAACTCTCATATCTATAAAATCAAACAAGATTAAATCCACAGATCTATTCGCATTGATTCTAAATTATTTTATCCAGGGAAAAAATGTAATATTACACTACAGACTTTACACATTTCGCTCTTTAATTAATACGTCGATCAAAAGGCAACATTTTCGCTACTAGTTTTCAAAAAGACACAAACGGTTGTTATTTTTATAGAACAAAAATGAAAAAAAAGTGTATATTTTGAAAACAAAAAAAAAAAAAAAAATAATCATACATTCACTTCTACTTATATAAAAATAGTAAACAGTCCTCGGTAACTTGAAAAACAGACATTTAATAACAAAACTGGAAAATATTATTATCCAGTAAAAATTTTTTTTCTGAATTAACAAAACACCTCTTTCACTTGAAGCGGAGCCAATAAAAATTATCATTCAAACAATTTCCTATTATGTATAATGTAAAAAAAAGAAGAAAAAAAACTCGAGTGGCGTTAATGTTGCCGCAATTATTGCTGAATTGTGCAATTTTCTTTTTATTTAATAATTTAAGTTTTACAGTGACAGAGTTTTTTCTCGACTGACGTATTTTTTCTCACTGTTTCATTTTTTTTTTTTGTAATTTTTTTTGTTTTCTTTACAAAAGAAAGCAATTTTTTTTTTCTTCCAAACTTGTATCGTTTCGATCCGAAGATTCTTCTTTACAAAACTAATTTTGCATTCCATTTATGAAAAAGTTACTTTTTTTTAGAATCACAGAATGAGAAATATTTCTGGCTTTTTTTTTGAGAGCCCGAATCAAAAATTCAATTTTAGTTTCTAAATATGAGAAAACAATTAAAGTTTGTTAAAGAAATGTGAATCTTGAATCAAACGAGGTGAGTAGTTGTCAAAAAAATCATTACTCGTGTGTTTGGTCCTCGTTTGTATTTGAGGATTTAAGAGTGTTAACGAAAAAAATAAACCTAAAGATCTTCGTCGTCCTCTGGTAGAGCCGTCTCTTGGGCTTCTTTGAGATCCTTTTCGATTTGTTGCTGCCATTGTGGGTCCATTGTGACTTCGGGAGGAAGAAGTGCTGGCATCGCAACGAACTCAAGATTTGGATCGCCAATCAATTTTCGCGCCAACCACAAGAAGGGCTTCTCGAAATTGTAATTACTTTTTGCACTGATGTCATAATACTGTTGAAAGGAAAAAGAAATTTTTTAGTAATATTCTCAATTTTTCATTGTTAAAAAGAGAGTTTTTCGAAATAAATTTCAAATCAGATTAGAGGGACAGTACTTTATTCTTCATTCTACTTTTAAAGACCTCTGAATCATAACTGAGAATTTAATAATTAGTTAATTTTTTTTATATTGACGATTTAATTACCTGGAGGTTCTTCTTCCGATGGAAGACGATGCTCTTGGCTTTGACTTTTCTGTCCTTAATGTCAACTTTGTTACCGCAGAGGACAATAGGAATATTTTCGCAAACTCTCACCAAATCTCGATGCCAGTTTGGTACATTCTTGTACGTCACCCTGGACGTAACGTCAAACATGATAATCGCACACTGTCCTTGAATGTAGTAACCATCACGGAGACCACCGAATTTTTCCTGACCAGCGGTATCCCAGACGTTAAATCTAATAGGACCTCGATTCGTATGGAAAATCAAGGGATGAACTTCAACCCCAAGTGTTGCGACGTATTTCTTCTCGAACTCGCCCGTAAGATGACGTTTTACAAAAGTTGTTTTTCCAGTACCTCCGTCACCTACCAGCACACATTTAAAAGTGGGCATATCCGCTTCCTGCGCCATTTTTTTGTTTGTTCAGTTATTTCAGTGTACCAGCAAAAATAATCTACAAAAACAAAATAAATCACAATTAGAACAATGACTGAAAAACTTAAAATTAAATTTGCATTTTAAATCAAAATGTGTCGAAATCGGTTAGCGTCAAAACTCTTTTCCCTGAAAGATAATTAAATCCACGTAATATTGAAAACAAAAAAAAGTATTCGAAACAGAAATTTTTCAATTTTTTTCCCCCCTAAAAAATCCATTTTTGTATATAGAAAACAATAAAATTTGGAATCGAGAAAAGCACGCGGTTAGGTTGGCATAAAAGTAAAATGAGGCGCGAAGTCCATATTCGTTCATGGAGCATAACCCCCGCACACAACCTTCAAATATAGACCGAATTTTCTCAAAAAAATACATTTTCAAAAACACTAAATTGATCAATTATTAAAAAACACGAAAAAAAGGGAAAAATTGATGAGAAATATTAACCGGGTGGTAAAATGTACAATTTTGGTAAAATTACAAACGATGAAATCACGAACCTTGTGCGTGATTACTAATGAGACTGACTCTAAAAACTAGTACATTATTAATTGAATGAAAACCATTACCAAAAGAAATGAAAATATTCACTGAAAATAATGAAAATTTCGTTAAACGCCGGTCCCGCGCATAATGCGTAACGGTGCACTTATACTATGACCACGCCGACAATTCTCAAAGTTTTCACCTTCAAACGGCGCCCATATTCTTGTTGTAAGGAAACTCGTATCTAACATACCTTAATAAATCCTTAATATTTGTGATAGTAGTCAGGAGTAATGCACTAATTTTTCTTTATATGTCTCATTAAATTGAAAATAACACAATGTAGAGACAAAATTTCCCGGGGAGTTACGAGGTATGTGAAAATGAACGATAAAACTTACCATGCAACACAGTCGTTATGGCTCACAATGGCGTTCCTTCGAACTAACGAGTGGCGATCAACTTCCTTGTAAATTTGGTAAATTTACTTGGACAATTATTAAGCAATCGAAGATATTAGAAATTAGGTAAATAATTAATTATTAATATTTGTGGTACTATTTTTTCAAAATAAACATGATTTTTGTTAAAAATTGGAAAAAGTTTATGATAATTGACAGCGACATCTGTCCATTGAAATACAGGGACGTACTAAGGTGGCACTTCCTGAGACTTTTTTTTCACTTATTTTATTAATGATTCATTAAAAATTTAATTTATCATTGGGAAATTTAATAATTGTGAAATTATATCGACATTGGACAAGTTTGTACTTGATGGAAATTTACTAGGATGAAATGAATAACAAAAATAAATGAAGGGCAACATTTTTCGGCCATCTTATATAACAAAATGGCGCTAAATTTGAATGCTTTGAATAAATGGAGTGCAAAACTTTGTAGAAATATTTTGTAAAAAAGAGCATATGGAAATATAAAACAAAAAATTATTTCTTTATTAAAAAATTTATTTTTTCATTATAAATACAAAAATATCAGAAAAATTTTTTTTTTATCGATAATATAGAAATTTTCGATGGAACTTCTAGTGTATCGACTTTAGATTGAAATTCAGTATAATTTTTGATCCACAGATGTCGCTAAGTATGAAATTTTAAATTATTTGAAAAAATGAACTAATTCTGCTGGGGATCGAAACCTATACTTTGTTAATAATTAATATTTGTAATTTTTATTATATTATAATTATATAATTCTTAAACTTGGATGTAATTTGTTAACTATTTATTTCTTGCATTGTTTTCAAGTAGAAACTAGTTTTATTAATTTATTGTTTTATTATTTGCAGTTTATTCTTTAAAATAAAATGAAAAAAAAATAAAAATAAAATAATAAATAAAAAAATAAAATATTTGCAATTTATTGTTTAAACTTTTATTTGTAAAATATTTTCTAAATTGTTATTTGTAAATTATTTATGATTTGTTTTCTTATTAATTTACCTTTAACTTGTAATTTATTTATTTACATATTTAATATAAACAAGAAAAACAACAATAATTTTGTAATTATTTATTATTATTTTGCATTAAACTAATTAATTTAATTTTAAAATAAATTTGAAAAAGATTTTCCTTCCATTTTAATATTTATAAAGAAGTTTCTTGTGATTTTTGGAAGATGATGTAAAAATGAAAAAAGAAAAAAAATAATTATCTTTTTTAAAAAAAGATAATTGTTTTTCTTTTTTAAAATAGAGAAACAATTTTTTTTAAATATTAAAAAAACAATGAAAAAGAATTATCTTTTTTTAAAAAAGATAATTGTTTTTTCTTTTTTAATTTTTCCATCATTTTCCAAAAATCGAAAAAAATTTCTTTATAAATATAAATTTTTAAATTTAAATAAATTTATTTTTTAAATTATTATTGGAAATTTATTGTTTGGACATTTATTTGAAAAATATTTTTCAAACGATTATTTGCAACGATTATTTATTTGATTTAAAATATTTTTGTTAATTTATAATTTAAATTGTTTTTTGCCATTTATTGTTTAAACATTAAACCACTTTTTGAAATATATTTTTTTAATTATTATTTTTAATTTGTTTATTACTTGTTTATTTATAATTTGTATTTTTATGGTCTATTTTAATTTTATTATTTTTTTTTATAAAATAAAACATTTTTTTATGAGAACAATTATTATTATTTATTAAAAGTAATAAAATTCAATGTAAATAATTAAAATAATGAAATTAATTAAAGGAACAAAATAATTATAATTTAAACTAATTAGAATAATAATTTATTAAATTGATAAATGTTTAGTTTACAGTTCGTCTTTGTTAAATAAATAAAATGAATAAACAATTATTTTAACTAAATTCGAAATTATTTTTTTCAAATTTGCATATTTTTAAAACAATTTAAAAAATTCTATTTTAATTTCTAATATAATGAAATTTTTTATTATAATCAATATTTTATTATAATTATAATCATTAATAATAACATTTTTATATAAATGAAAGTATGATAATTTTTAATTATTAATTTTAGTAAAAAATTAATTAATTAATAGTAATGAAGTAACTAATGTCAAATTTTAGTTATAATAGATAAATTATTAAATAATTATTATTAAAAAATTATGTACGTGGAAAAGAGCTTTAATTGGAGTAACTATAAGTTTCTTTAAAACAGCGAAAGTATTAATTGAAGGAACTAAAAATTTCGCTAATATTGAGAAATTTTTATCCAAATAATTAATAATAATTTAAATGATAATTAAATTTAATAATTTAAATAATAATTAAATTAAATAATTATCGTTAAATAATTATATATATATACAGACAAAATAGTTTTATCTGTAACAGTTAAATAAGTTTCTCTAGAATAGCGAAACTCTTAAACTGAGGCAACTAAAAATTTCGTTAATATCGAGAAATCTTTAGCTGTTCCAGGTAAAATATTTTTTTTCGTGTAGAAAAAAATAATTAATTAACTAAATAATAATTTAACGAATAAAGTAGATAATAATAATTAACAAAAAATGGTTTAATTTCTCTTTGAAAGAAAAAAGAAGAAAAAAAAAAATATGTATAAATTTACAAAGTATAGAATATTTTTTTAAACTAAAAATTATTTTTCTTTTATACTGAATATTTTTCCCTTATCTGAATATTTTTCTCATATTTATAAATATTTTTCTCTCGTAAACAAAAACGTCAATAAGAATATAAATGCACTCGTACATATATCAAAACGTAAGTTTACATATCTTACAGAATTCCAATTCGACATTCAAACTGAATATAAAGGTAAATAAAAAAAATAAAAAATTAAGAAAAAAAAAAAAAATTACTATATACGAAGTGGATGAAAAGATGAATATATATACATATATATATGAAGAGTATCCAATGGTTATGAGCTCCGCCCCGGTTAGGGGTTGGAATTATCAACCCCTAAATACGAGAATCGCGCACAAATGTTGGTAACGTCACATTGTGGGCGTTCACATTTTAGAGACACAACCCTTGGTTTTGATATTGCCAAATAAATCCCGGGGGTTGTTTCTTCTGCTCAACGTTTCAAATCAAGTCTCTCAATTCAACATCAGTTCTAATCTCGAGTGCGTTCATATAATAATCGACAATCACTTATACGAAACTTTTGATATATTATTAAATATTTAACGCAGTGTTTTGGTGTAGAAAAAAAATAAAATCAGTGAATTAGTATTTGTTTATCGGAAAAAAATTGTTTCTTTTGTGTGTTTTTCTTTTTTTTTTGTTTTTTTTAATATAGAAAATTATTTGTGAAAATTAGAAAAACAAAAGAAAAAAAATTTAACGGATGGAGACTTCGAGATCGTTGGATAACGGTGCCATTACCTGTTCGATAATGAATCTGAATGATCAGGAAGTGCCCACAGTTACTACTGAATTAACGAGATTGGTAAGAAGAGAACTTTTTTTTCTATAAAAAAAAAAAATTTTTTAGCTATATATAATAATAAATAATAATGATAGTAAATTTACATCTTTGAAGTTGAAATTATATACTAATTTTTTATCTAAATAACGTTCTTTTGCTGAAATTTTAGTATTTTATAAACTAATGTTTACTAATTTGAATTAGTTTTATTTTATATTTTTCTTGTTATCAGAATTTTAGTAATTTTTTTTATAAATAAATTATTAATTTCTCTTATCAAAAATTTACTAATTCGTGTTTGAATATTTTTGGTAATTTTCTGCACCAAAAATTTGCTAATTATTAGTAAATTTATTATATTATATTTATTATAACAATAAAATTATTATTATTATTTTTCTAAATAACGTTGTTTGCTGAAATTTTAGTAATTTTTTCTGCCAATAAATTGCTGATTTTTGTAATAAAAAATTTGGTAATTTTTTCCAATGAAAATTTACTAAATTTTTATTATAAAAAGTAAATAAATTATTTAAAAACTTATATTTGTTATTTGTTATATTTGTTATTATAAAATTATTATTTTTTTCCCTGTACTAAAAATTAACTAATTATTATTAGTAAATTTTTACTACAAAAAAATTACTAAAATTTTAATGTCAGAAATTAGTTAATTTTTAATAAAAAAAAATCAAATTTTTGATAATATTAGTAATATTAGTAACAATAATATTAGTAATTTTTTTGTACTGAAAATATTATTGTTATCAAAATTTAAAAAAAAATTTCGTACTGAAAATTTACTAATTCTTGTTAATCAAAATTTTATGGTCATTATTTACACTGAATGTTTGCTAATTTTTTTAAATAAAAAAATTGATTATTCTTATTTATAGTTTAGTAATTTCTTTCTTTTTAAACTTCAGTAATTTCAGTAATTTTTGTCTTTAATTTCAGTCCTTTTTAACTAAAAATTTATTTTAAATTAAAATTTGAATAAAAGCAAAAATTTGGAACTTAATAATTGAATAATAATAATAGTGGAACATAATTTACGGTAAAAAAAAATTAAATTTAAAATGAAAAATTTTAATTAAGTATAGAATAAAAAATAATACCGTCGCTTACGTAATAACTCTCGAAGGACAGTAGATATTTTCGTACCCGAACGGTACCACAGTTTCCACTTAATATTAGTCCATTTTTTTTTACTATTTTCGAAAAAAATTACTAATTACCCTACTAATTTTTAATAATTTCAATAAATCTACTAATTTTTAGTAGAAAATTCAAATATTTTTATTACAAATACCTATTTTTACTATTTTTATACTACTAATTACTATACTATTAATTATCATATTACTACTAACATTATATTACTACTAATATTATATTACTACTAATAAATATTATACTATCATTGTGTTATTAAGCTAAAAATTATTAAACAAGTAATTATTTTACTCTCTGCATTAAATTAGTAAAAATGTTTACTCAATTCAATTAGTAACCGATTTTTGCTTTTGGAATAGTAAATATTAATAATAAATAGTAATTTTTACCAAATTATTAGTAAAATTTTACTAAAAAATATTTATTTATCAGTATAAATGTAAATATATTTATTATTTTACTAACGTTTTGGGTTTTTTTTTGTATCTGCGAACAAATCAACATTAATCTAATCAACATTAATTTAACTAATAAATTAATAAATATAGCTACTAAAAAGTTGCACTATAATTAGTAAATTGTTCTATTATTAGTAAGCGTTCTTCTATAATTAGCAAATAATTGAGGGGCTGGATGCTATAATGTGTTACGCGCCATGTTAAGTGAATGGCGCGTAACACATTATAGCATCCAGCCCCTCAATTTTTATAAAATTCTCTAAATTTAAATTAGTAAAAAGGTTTACAAATTTGAAGTAGTGACTCACTTTTTGCTTTTGAATTAGTAAATTCCACTAATTGTAAAAAATTAGTAGAAATGACTATTTTTAGCAAAATTTTACTAATAAATAATTATTTATTATAAATATAAATATATTTATTTGTTAATTTATTTATAAATAGTAATTTCTACTAATTTATTAGTAAAATAATAAACAGATTATATTTATAATAATAAATAATTATTTATTCGTAAAATTTTACTAAAAATACTAATTTCTACTAATTTTTTATACAATTAGTGAAATTTACTAATTCAAAAGCAAAAAGTGAGTTTCTAATTCAAATTTGTAAACCTTTTTTAGTAATTTAAAGTTAGTTTTTTAATAATAGAACAATTTACTACATAATTATATTGAAACTTTTTAGTAACTATAGTAAAACTATTTACTAATTATACAATTAATTAAAAACATGACAAAAATTAGCTAAAGATTTTTTAATTACTAAATTTTCTTTGATAATTAATAATGGATTAATTCATTTTTTACCTATTTATTTATTGTCCCATTGAATCTAATTAAAAATTGTCGCTCTTAATTAGTATAATTTTTTTAAAATTTATAAACAAAAGAAGAGAATGAAAAATTAAAATTAGGTTGCTTCTATTCAATAGAGTTATTAGTTTGAAAAAAAGACAAAAAAATTCAGAATAATTATTATCAATTTAATAAGAAGAGAAATTAAAAGTAAGTAAAAGTATTTATAAATTTCTCTTCAATTTTACAATTGCGGGTAAAAATTAAAAGTAATTAAAAGTATTTAGAAATTTCTCTTCTTATTATATTGATAATTATTCTGATTTTTTTTTTGGTACTTTTTCAAACTAATAACCCGCAGTAACAATAATTTTTACCCGCAATTGTAAAATTGTGGGTAAAAATTAAAAGTAAGTAAAAATATTTATAAATTCCTCGTTTCTTTTATATTTTCTATAATAGTGACATTTCTTTGGCACGTGTATATACAAAATGCGTACAGCCAAAAAAGTTACGGCTTATGATTTTTCAGAGTCGAAGTAAAATTTTTTCCCGATGGCACGCGCTTTCACGCTTGGATGATACGTCCCACGGGAGTCAATACAATCACCCCTTTTGTGTTCTCTAAACACGTAATTGTCACCACGTACCATCAAACCACTCGTAAATCGAAGGGGACGTTCTCCCTTTCTCTCTCTCCCTCTCTCCTTCTACAATTTGAAAAAGAAAGAGAGAGAAAGAGAGAGGAGTGTGTATTCCACTTTTAGCATGAATATACATGAAAATATGATATCGAGAACGAGTGTCATAAAAAAAAAAGACGGTCAGATAGTTTACAGTGGTGCGTGAGTCTCTCGCACTCACTCGCTTTGCCTGTTGGCGGGTGGTCCCCCTACTCAATTCCATTGTCATCGTCGGGAATCAATCTCGAAACTGAAACACACTTGATTTATGTTTGTTGACTCTTGAAATTTTACGATTCCCACACCAGTGGCCCTATAGGCCCTTAATTGACTTCTCTTTCATTCAATGATGGCTTACATATGTCGCCACTCGACTTTCCCATGATTAGGGGACTTATTTTCTGATATATATATTTTTTTTCAGGATTATCTCATATATTGAGGTAGGTTTCGTGAATTTGTGGGGCGTGCGCCGTAAACAATCGTTTAGAATGACTTTTCAAAATGTGTAAATTAACTCGACTGGTTCTTTATTGTAGAGTAGCTTTTACTTTTACTACTGAATTTTTTTAAAAATTGTTTTTATATTTAATTTTTTAATGTCTGACTATTGACCCGTTTTTCTACTTAAAACTAAATTATTTTTTAATAACTCACTAATAGATAAAAAGTTTATAACAAAATCAGCAAATAAACAATTTTTCATCTTTCATTTTAAAAAGATTTAAATATTTTTCTTCAGAGTCTGACTATAAATTGGTTTTACTACTTAAAAATGTTTAAAAAAAATGTTAAAAATTCGATTAATAATTTTTTGTGATTATTTATTAAATTTATTCTTTAGAAAAAACTTCTTTTTTAAGATTGTCTGACTATTGACAGTTTTTTCTACTTAAAACTAAATTTTCTTTTAAAAATTACTAATAGTTAAAATGTTTATACCAAAGTGAGCTAATAAATAATTTTTCCACTTTGATTTTAAAAAGATTTAAATATTTTTCTTCAGAGTCTGACTATAAATTGGTTTTACTACTTAAAAATGTTAAAAAAAATGTTAAAAATTCGATTAATAATTTTTTGTGATTATTTATTAAATTTATTCTTTAGAAAAAACTTCTTTTTGAAGATTGTCTGACTATTGACAGTTTTTTCTACTTAAAACTAAATTTTCTTTTAAAAATTACTAATAGTTAAAATGTTTATACCAAAGTGAGCTAATAAATAATTTTTACACTTTGATTTTAAAAAGATTTAAATATTTTTCTTCAGAGTCTGACTATAAATTGGATTCACTACTTAAAAATGTTTAAAAAAATTTACTAATCCGATAATTCAATTTTTATTGTTTGTTTATTGTTATTTATTCATTTGAAAAAATTTCTTTTTGTCGATTGTTTGACTATTGACAGTTTTTTCTACTTAAAACTAAATTATTTTTAATAAATTGCTAACAGAAAATTAATTTATAACAAAGTCTGCAAAAAATTAATTTCACCTTTGGATTTCTATTTAAAATTAAATTATTTTTCAACACATTACTAACAGATAAAAAGTTTATAACAATGTCAGCAAATAAATAATTTTTCCTCTTTGATTTTAAAAAGATTGAAATATTTTTCTTTAGTCTGACTATAAATTGGATGTACTACTTAAAATTAAAAAAAATTAAATTAATTTGATTAATCATTATTTGTGATTATTTATTGTTTACTTATTGAAACATATTGTTTATTTAATGAAAACTTGTTCCTAAAAATTGTCTGACTATTGACAGATATCTCTACTTGAGAATAAATTACTTTTTTAAAAATTGCTGAAAGAAAAATATTTTATAACAAATAAGTCTGCAAAAAATTAATTTCACTTTTGACTTTAAATGGAATTATTAAATATTTTTCTTTAGT